GACCAGAGAGGCCCTGGAGACAGACCCTGAAACCTGCTGTTTCAGCAGCAGCCAGGAGACTCCATCAGTCTTGGGGACTTGTCACACAGGAGAGTTGCACTCCTGCTACGCTCGATGGTGAACAGCCCTCTGCAGTTTCTCTCCAAGGGACTCACCTGCCAAGGTGTCCACCAAGAGCACAATGTCAGCTGGAACCCTGCCGCCACTGGGGGTCTGTCTGTTGCTACTTTCCCATTCAAATTCTTACTTCCCAGTCTGACCTTCTCTTAAGTCCGCTCCTGACTCTGACTTCTGACTCCATTCCTGGAGGGAGGTCAGAGGAGAAGCCATGAAAGAACTGGCCACCTCCTTGGGGGGAAAAGCTGATCATTCTTCACATTGCAGTTTCCCCAGTTTCTTAGGCAAACCCTTTTTACTTTGAAGCTCAGAACGGTGGTATTGCCATCCATTTGCCTATTCATCCATCCAGTAGATCTGCATTTGCTTCATGCTGTCCACCAGGCTGTAGAGACTGCCAGAACAGTGAAGACTCCTACATCAACAGCTAAAGAGAAGTGTGGGAACAAATGGCCACAAAACCAGCAACTGTCAATCATGAAAGAAAAAAATAGGAGAGCACCTGAGAGGAGCAGGACTTCAGCAAGGCAAGAGTGGGGGAGATGCATTCTGGGATGAGAGCAGGGAGGAAGGACGATGCTTGGCTCTCAAGCTGTTCCTACTGTGTGAGGAGGAGAGTGTTGGGTAGCACCAGACCATGCAGCCCTTGGGGACCATGCTGAGGACAGAAACTCAGACAAACGTTCACAACTGCATTCTTTATCAGCCATCTGCTTCTGCTTACTGTCAACATGGGCACTTGGACTCTACTCCAACTCTTGGCACACCGTGCCAGCTTTACACTAAGGCTTCACCACCATTCTACACTCTCTCTAGCGGTGGCCATCTTAACCTCAGGGAGCCTCCTCTTCAATTTTCCTCTTGTCTAGAATTCCTACCGCTCTGAAAATCATATCCCAGCACTTCATTCTTAGACCACGATTTCTCACCAATCCCACCCTCCCACTCCCTTCCACCTAACAAGTCTCCAAGATTTTCATTTATCTTTGTAAAAAATTAGCATAAGAGTTGTAAAATTGCATCAGAATAAGCAAAACAGGAAGTTGCGTGGTTTCCTCAGTCTACCAAGGCACGCAGGCTTGTCCACATCCCTGCATCTCCAAACATCTGTCAACTTATATGCAAGCAAAAATATTTTGTGTTTACAATGAATACAAAATTGGGGGATTTTTTAAAAACTTAAAACAATGACTAAATCACAGATGAGCAGATAGATCAGAGCCTTCAAGGTGCTGCACACTCCTCCCATGACTGATCCTGCTTTCAGCTCACCTCCAAAGAGAACGAAGCTTCCCTTTGTTGTGTGCCTTACCAGACTTGTTGGCCCCAGAAAAACTTGAAGGGGCCTCTCTAGTGAATCGTTTCCAGTCTTTGTAGTTGAGAAAGAATGGCTGCTTATAACCAAAAGAGTCAGCGGGCAGAAGGGTTCCTCACTGAAACCCGGCAGATGGCAGCGTGGCTCGGAGTTCCATGAGAACCGAGGCCTCCACACCTTTCACCACTCGGTCCACCGCTGCTCAGCAGATGTGCACAACAGGCTGTTGGCAGGTGTTGAGGAAACCACAGCCTTAAGCAGGCAAGGAAACTTGAAACTCACTTGTGAGGCCTGGATGGCAGGAAAGCCAGCAGACCAAAATAAGAGAAGCCTACTGAAGTAGAACCAATGGAAGAGACAGAAAAGGACCCTAATGAAATGAAAATATAATGGAATTATATAACACAAAAGAATACTTTTAGGAACTAAGAAACACATAAGTTTTAGATTAAAAATCCAACATTCCAATTGAAAAGGGGAATTACTGTCTTCTAAAACTTTACTAGTGGTCAAAAGATCAGATGGAACCTTACAGAGGCCTAGTGACAGATTCTGTATTGATAAAAGGCCAAGTCACACAGAAATCAGATCCAGAGAAGCAAAGGGAAGAGAGGAACCCAGGAAGAAGTGATAATAACGGAGCAGCCGAAGAGAATCTGTGTAACTTAATAAAATCGCAGGGCCCTGAACATGGATGAGAATCCCCCAAATCTGCTACAACAGCAGGGAGACAGTTTGCTGGCGTGGTGGGAAGCTAGGAGACAAAAACCGCCCAGGAATACTGGGCACTGACTCTGGGTTCTCGCGGTACTGGAACTTGGTACTTCACGGGGAAATGCGAAGCACACAGACACTGAAATTCTCATTGTTAGATGATATCTAGATCCTCGTCACAAAGTACCAACTACAGGGGTGCTGTGAGACAATGTTCTTCCTTTCACACTCTTGCTAAAACATTGCAGATACAAACACTTAAAAGCTATAAACGTAAGTTACTCTGATGAAGATGCATAGTTGAGGACACAAACAGAAACCACTTATAAATATGTGTAGCCTTGTTAGAAGTCACTGCTTTTATTTTTTTAAAAGTGCTCAAAGGTAGGACAGCCGGAGTGGAGACTGTATGTGGAGAGGTACGCCTCCCGACCGTCAGCGGTATGAAGAGGGTGAGTTCTTGACTTTGAAACTGTCAGTTTCCTGAAAAATGAGAGTCACTCATGGACCACATTTAGAACTGGTTGGACTGTAACAAGTCCTTAATAGCTAAGAGCCACCCCCCTGCTCTGCTGTGGCTCCAACAGGAAGACGGTTCTGCATGCAGAACTCGAATTCTCGAGCCACAGACCTGAGCTCCAATGCCAGCTTTAGTTTCACACTGCAGCCATGGCAGTTAATTCCTTCCTGCTTCTGCTTTGTTCTAATCTAAGATTAACTTGAGCGGCAATCTCAAGTTTCCATATCCATCTCCAGTTCCTAGTATATAGCAAAGCGCTATGTAGGACCCGAGACGCCAAGAACAGCATGCATGTCTGGTTTTGGCTATCAGAGAGGCTGGCAGGGAGTGCTCAGGAGCCCTTGGGGGCACTTCCTAAGGCCCTAGGAGAACCAACAAAGAACTCAGATGGACTAAATCAAGTAAGAGGACAATTGTGAGAGAAGAAAAGCAAACAGTTTCTGACACTCTATATTGTGTTACTTTAAGCAAAACAGAAGCCGAAAGAGGTGGAAAATGATTGTGACTCCAGGAATTGGGAGGCAAAGGCAGGAAGCCCCAAGCTCGAAACCAGCCTGAGCTACACAGAGACCTTGTTGGCCTCTATGAATGACTCTACTACTAACACTATTTATTATTATTTTATGTTATTATTTGTGGGACTGGGGATTGAACCCAGAACTTACACGTTAGGCAAGAGATCTACTCCTGAGCGATATGTCCGACCTTCCCTTTTTTTCATTCTTTGAGATAGGGTCTTACAAAGTTGGCCTCCAACTCACTCTATAGTACAGCTCTTGACCTTTCAATCCTCCTGGTTCAGCCTCCAAAGTAGTTAGGATATTAATGAGGCCTGAGCCACTATGCCAGTCTGTGTGATCTCTGAAGAGTAAGTGCTCCTTTGAACAACACTCTCAGTTACTCTCCAGGAGGAGATATAGTCACTTGGTCCCTGGCACCCATATCCACCCTTTCCAAGTACTCCACTGTGGCACATGGTGGGTGAAATTCTCGATCTAAGTTTAACTTCATGCTAGTAACAATAAAGACCTTATCCCACTGGGACTGGGCTCCACAACTCTGCATTCTGACTGGTTGTGATTTTCTGTTGTAACTTCCATCTGTTGCGAAGAGAAGTTTCCTTGATGAGGAGTGAATACTACACTTACCTGTGGGTATAAGAACAACTGTCTATAGATGGTTGTTAGGAATTAGATTGGTTTAGTAAACTAGTACTTAGAGATTCTCCATGCCTTTACTAGCACTGCATAGTTAGGTAAGTTTCTGGACACCTCTACAAAACACTAAAGCATCTTGGGCTCAGGGAACATTGTAGAAGAGGGGCAGAAGACTCTACATGCCAGGGGATCAAGCTGTTTGCCGTGAGATTGTCTCCTGGTAATATCAGAGGCTATACCCAGGAGGTCTCACCAACATGGCTGCCCAAACACGAGCTGAACAAAGATGACGCCAACGGTCACAACAAAGCGGACAGGGAAAAGGCCATGTGGCTTCAACCCTACACAAAGAACTGCAGGCCGCTGAGGAAAGCTGGGAGCAGGAAAGGCATTCCTCCCCAGGGCAAAGCATGCCAACTGCTTGTCCAGTGTCACATGTCAGACCTGAAAACATCCATATAAGCAATGTTATACACACTGAACAGCTTATATTTAGGAACACACACACACACACACACACACACAGAGAGAGAGAGAGAGAGAGAGAGAGAGAGAGAGAGAGAGAGAGAGAGAGAGAGAGAGAGAGAGAGACAGAGAGAGAGACAGAGAGAGACAGAGACAAAGACAGAGAGAGACAGAGAGAGAGATGCAATAACAATTTGTGAAGAAAAGAGGTCACAAATTTGAAGGAGAGCAGAGAGGTTTTGGAGAGAAAGAAGAAAAGGAAGTGAGAAGTGTTATAATTATAATCTCAAAAATAAAATAAAAGGCTTATCCCAAAGCCTCTTAGTGTTAAGAATGGGTAATTTCAACCGTCCAATGTGATCTGGGCATGGAAAGGACAGAGGAAGCTGTTCTCCTGTGGTCCGTTAGTCAACACCAAAGCATTAGGTTATCTGAGGCTTTGGGGTATCTGTAGTAGGAATGCCAGACAATCCCTAACATAAAATGAAGGAGCTCTGGCTTCCGAGGACAGCCCGAATGCCCATGAAAAGAAACAAGGGCTGACACCATGTTTTTCCTGTTACCATCAGCTGGCACTAAAAACTCATGACTTAATAGTTTATGTTTAAAATCTCAGAGAAGTGATGATGGAAACTCAACACATACTTAAAGCAATATTAAGTACAATGAGACATTTGCTATCTTTAGAATGAATGTTATATCATTATTAAAATACATTTCTGAATATTTTATTTATATGGCATCACAATATAAAACAAGTAAATACATTATTTAAAACCATGTATTTGGCTCATAACTGGCCTAAATTCATTACAAATTTACTTCAATGGTTCATAAGAATAATTCTGATTTTTGCATAGAGAAAAATATTTTAAAAATTAATATTTTTTAAAAAAGAATGAAACCAGAGTTCAATGCAAAATATCTACCACAAATGAAGACTAAGAATTATCATCTCTTAAAGTTTCAGTCAGATAATAAATTATGTCTCAAATATCTTGAGATACAAACTCTAACACTGGCAACAATCATTGGTCAATAAATTCAACAATTATCTAAACATCGTTACATAGGAAATCTGAAGAAACTGCAAGTAATTCTTAATGCTCTCATTCTGATTCTCCGACTTCTCAAGATTGTGCTGTATTTCCTTCAAACATATATCCTGATGCTGGGCTTTCTAAATGAAGAGAGAAACAGATAATCAGGATGGCATTCATATGCAAGACGAAGAGCTGTAAATACATATGCGATAACCAAATAAGTCAGTTCTTCCCAAAGAACTTTTAAATAGCATCTTCCTTAAAACAAAATCCTTAGTGATTAAAGCATATATGGCTGATCATTCTATTTTGATAGTTTATTGTAATACATTTATTTGGCCCTACATTATTACAGATTTAATGTGAAGGTTTTATTTAGAGCAGTCATTACTAGTTCCTATTATGTTTAACATGATATCTTTTCATATTCCTTTTTGTCATTTTTCTGCTAAAAAATTATGTTTTTTTCCCATAAGGCCTTCACTGTTTTCAATTTTTTTATTTTATAAATTTTATTATAAATAACTTTGCAAATAAATAAAAATAGCAAGCACCAAAATTAACCAGACTCAAAGTGTCTACAGTTCAACAATCTGCTGTAAGCTGTTTTAAAAACCAACAAAATTCTAGCTTTGATAAGGTGAACATTTTCTCCTAAACTCTTTCAAAACCTTAATTCATGTCCTTTGAGGAAGAAGTTTTAAACTCACATAATTTTTGAACTTTGGTTGTGTACAGGTTTCTAGGTGGGCTGCCTACTGCAAATGCAGTAAGCATTTAGGTAAGACAGGTTTCCAGCTAAAACCTAGACACCCCAAGAACACTGAGAGACCGTTCGTGTTCTCAGAGCAGGTGTTCCCACACCCAGCAACTGAACCTGAGCAGTGCCCAGCAGAAGAAGCAGAGAGTGTGTGGCAAAGAGTGTGTGACCTGGACTGCACAGGTCACAGAATGAATGGAGCTGCTCTTTATGGCGCATCAATCTGGAGGACAGTAGCCATAAATCACACACTGCAGGGCAGAATGTAAATGCGACTGAACTTTGGGACAATAAGGAAAATTGGAAAGACACTGTGGCTTCAGTAGGGCTGCCATGGTTGTGGAGCTCTAAGGTCACCCTTCAAACTGTGCATCCACCCCACCTCCTAACCAAAGTACTTGGACCCAAACCATGGGAAGGCCCGCAGAGTAGGCGGTGTATGGCGGAAGACACTGGAGACAGCCAACTATGGCCAGGCTCAGGCTCTCTGAGTAGGACACATTAACCCATTTCTAGCTATTTCAAACTTAGGTTCAGAATTCTAGATTGTCTACTAGAGCAACAACTATGGGGTTTAACATTAGATCCTAACCTATTTAGCAAAGTCCTAAACACAGCACAGAGAAATCCATTTCCTCTCAGTTTATTTTTTTCAGGGGCTTCAATTGCACAAAGAATATCATACATATTTTACAATATTGGGAATTTGTTTATTTGTTTGTTTTTAAGTTTAGAAACTCAGCAAACAGCTGAATTAAATTAAAAAATGGTGAATGTTTTGTTCTGATTAAATTTTCATTAAACATCTGAAGGCAATAAGCCTAAACAGTGTATGTCAAAATAACTTAACTTTTTGAACCTTTTAGGTTTACATCTTTTTAGAGGAAATGAAAAAAGGGTTTTCACAGAGTCTCCAACTCCTGGAAAAATAAAGCACCAACATTCTCTATGTAATTATCAAGTAGACAGTTATTAAGTAATTTAAGCACGACTAATGCCAGCTTCAAGATTATCTTATGCCAATAGACTATTTCATGAATATTCAGGAAAAATATGAGACTAATTAAACACAGCCAATTTGGTATTCTCATTTCATGGCTGAGTGGATCAGAGCATCCAGCTCTTATGCAGATTGGACAATGGTGAATATTAAAATCATATCCTTCTAAGATATATTCATTAATCAAGACAGATATAAAATCTAGTTCATAACTTTAAATTATATGTCTCTTTAAAAGATGAAAATTCAAATAAAGAAAATTTAAATAAAAATTACATGGCTTCTTTGTGGAGCCTTCACTGAGCAGCTGTTCCACAAAGATACTGAGCACGGAATGGCCTGATGAGACAAAGCAAGGTGGGGAATTCTCTGCCATGATCGTGACAGCACATTTTTGCATTTTTACTATTTGTCATTTCTAATCTTAGCAGGAAAACAAAAGCCTTGCCTCCCCTCCACCTGGGCTTTCAGAATGTAGCAATGTTACAAGAAACACATGCTAAGTGCTCACATTTACAATACAAGCCATGCTAATACTTACACTGTTCATTTGGCCAACAAGTTGGTTTTGTTCTTCGTTTTTCTTTCTAAGCTCAGCTTCCAGATCTAATATTTTAATTTGTAAAGCCCTCTCTCTAGATGACATCTTCTCTACTTCTTCAGAAACCTGTAATTTTCATTAAAAGAATAAAATGACTAAAGGTGCTTTCCTTAAAACTTATTTTGAAGCCCTGATATAATCATAGTATACTACTTTTTTCCCAAGTAGATACTAATTGGATATTAGACAATTCCATTAGAAAATATTCAATGTATTTTATCTTGAGTTGGGGATATAGCTCAGTGGCAGATGATTTCCTAGCATGTGCGAGGCCCTTGGTTCAATTCCAGCACGGCAAAGGGAAAAATAAAGAGTTTGATTTGAAGAAGCACATACAATACATGTGTGTATATGTATCATAAGTATCTGGAAAGTTAATTTGAGGTGGAGAGGTATGCGGGTTTGCACTGTTTGTGACCTGGGTAGGATCTCCCCGACAGTTTCAGACATATTAAACCCAGCTGCCACTTTTCATAGTATTTATTTATTTATATTCATTGTGATATCTGGGGGAGTGGTGGAACACAGCAAGGTCTCACTGAACACTGATTATGTGTCCAGATACCCAGTGGAGGGGCAGTGTGCACACAGCCCCCAGACAGACACACGAGATAGGTGCGGCATCCTTCACTTTCAATGCAGCCTGAATATGAGTATTTCTATTTCTCTCGGTTGCTTATGTTAACAGAAAGTCTAGCCTAGCTATGTCCATCAGAGACTCAGGTAAGTGGAGGCCCATTTGCAAGAATGTTGGTTTGGAGCCACAAGTGTGCAAGCAGAGGTAGAGGCTAGTCCAGAGGAAGAGCTCAGCAGGAAGGACTGCCCTGACAGTGCTCCGAGGACTCAGTTCCAAGTTACTGTGAACCAATTCCCAGACAACAGGAAAGGACAGCAGTGAGTTCTGAAGCCAGGAAGGGAAGAAGGCCCAGGAAAGCACCTGTGCCCTCAATGCGGACAAGGGGGACAGACAATGATGGCCCTCATCAAGTGGTCAGAAATGAGACATCAGCACATTCCACCACTGCAGGAGAGGAAAGGGTAGGCAACTTCTGGGGACTCTGACCACTGTGGGAAAAAGTCAGAGAGCATCTGGCATTGACAAGGTCCTATGCTGACCTCAAGCAAAGCTCTCCTTTCTTTCCAGAGGTTGGCGGGGCTGAGAAAGCTGCAGAGCATGTCTACAACTGGCACCACCCTTCGCTATTCAGCTTTCATTCTATGACGTGTGCCTTCAAATCAACTTAAATTGGCTCCGCGGAACTTCAGAAAATTCAAAACACTGGAGGATACCAGAGTTTAGCCTTGACAGAACTGACACTAAAGACTTAGAGGATACAATAACTAAAAGACAATTAGGAGGGAAGGGTTCAAAGTTTACTTTTAGACATGTCAGATTTGGTAAGTCAGTGTTAAAGTGGAGATGCCAAGTAAAGTAGACTTCAGTGGGGTCAGGAATGAGAGTCCCCAGGGTAGAGATGGTCACCTTTTAGCCTCACTCATCCTACAAGGGAAATCATAAGTCCCATTTTGCTGATTCTTAAAGAGACAGCCAGGTTGGGGATTTAGCTCAGTGGTAGAGCGCTTGCCTAGCAAGCACAAGGCCCTGGGTTCAATCCTCAGCTCCAAAAAAAAAGACAGTCTGCCCATCAGAGGCAGGATCCAAATCCAGCTACTTGGACTCCAAAGCTTACTCTATGGTCTTTCAATATGAGATTTCAAGTTTTTTTTGTTTGTTTGTTTCTTTTTAATAAATTTATTTATTTATTTTACATCCTAGACACAGTTTCCTCTCCCTCCTCTCCTCCCAGTCCCTCCTCCCAACCCCCTCCATTCCTACCCCCAATCCACTCCTCTTCCATTTCTGTTCAGGAAAGGGCAGGTCTCCCATGAGTATCAACAAAACATGGCATATCAAGTTGCAGTTAAACTAAGCACCTCTCCATGTATTAAGGCTGGGCAAAGTGGCCCAGTATGAGGAGTAGGGTCCCAAAAGCCAGCAAAAGAGTCAGAGACAGCCCCCGTTCCCTCTGTTAGGAGTCCCACAAGAGGACCAAGCTACACAACTGTAACATATATGCAGAGGGCTAGGCCAGTTTCATGCAGGCTCCCACCAGTTGTTGGTTCAGTTCCTGTGAGCCCCTACAAGCCCAGGTTAGTTGATTCTGTGGGTTTCCTTGTGTTGTTCTTGATCCCTCTGGCTCCTACAATGCCTTCTCCCCTCTTCTGCAGGATTCCCTGAACTCTGCCTAATGTTTGGCTATGGGTCTCTGCATCTGTTTCCATCTGTGGCTGGATGAAGCCTCTCTGGTGCCAATTGGGCTAGGCACCAATCTGGTCACAGGAGGCGGCCAGTTCGGGCTACATATCCACTATTGCTAGGAGTCTTCGCTGGGTCTTCCTTATAGATTCCTGGGAGACTGCCTTGTACCAGGTTTTACCTGAGCCTGGAACGGCCCCCTTTCCAGTCATCTCTCTTGGTCAAGTTGTCTGATAACTTCATCTCTTCTTTGAGATCTTCCCACCATTCCCTTCCTCTCTGATTGAAATGCCCACTTTTTTGTGTCACTTGAGTCGACCTCTACCACAGAACCTGCAGGTAAGATGACATCCCCACTACACCGAGAGCTCAGGACTGGCCTTTCCATCTTTGCCTGTGAAGCACTACCCAAGCGTCCACATGCCGAGAGGCTGGGCAGGCTGAATGCTAGCTTCAGACTGAACTAGAACGGAGTTCTTGTGTGTTCTTGTTTGTGCAACCAATGTGTGTCACAGAGAAGTTCACTTTAGAGTTCACTGGATGTCAATCAGAACCAGAACCTTTATTTATTCAAACACATACACATACACACACACACACACACACACACACACACACGCACAAGCACACGCGCACGCGCACACGCACACGCACACACACAGGCACACACACACAGAGGGGTCACACTCTCCGGATCCTTCCCACCTTTGCCCCCTCTCCCGCCACATCAGCACTCATCTAGAAGGCAGTCCTGGCCCAGGAATATCTCCGTGTTCTGCTCTGAGGGAAAATTCAGTAAAGAACAAAAATGGAGCGCTCCCTCCACCCTGTCATCAGCGTAAAAACAATAACTGGAGGCTTGGCAATGGGAGCCGACTCTGGCAAACTAATTAAACAGTTTCTAAATAAAGGCCATCTGTACCTTTTGTCTCCCTTCCTCCAGAGCGGCTTCCAGCTGCCTGGACAGCACTGTGTATTCTGCAGCCTTCTCCTTCAGCTCCAGGTCACTGTGCTTCAGATACTCCTCCTGGTCGTCCAGCTTCTTCTCAAGTTCTTTATTCTCTGCATCCATCTGCTCCAACTTTCTTTTACAGAAATATGCATATGTATGCTTATTAATATGAGATAACTATATCACACACAAACATACACATACATACAGACTATAGTGCATAGAGAAAATGCAGCATCGACTTTATGTCCACTTGATACTTACTCTTTTAGGTTCTCACACTTTAACTGAATGAGGTAATTCTCCTCCTCAAGAGAAAGCTTGTTTAGAAGGCTATGGTTTCCATCAATCTAAGCAGAAAAAAAAATACCTTTTCAGCTACTTTTTTCATTGACTTCCAAGGAAATAATGTATTTTATTTGGAAGCACAAGAAACAAGAAGATATGAATACACAGACACCAAGCCATATTTACAACGCTAACACACAAGTTCTCCAACTCCTCACTGAGTTTTAAAAGCTGATGTTGTCTATGTTAGAAAATTAACTACATTTTTTCTTTGTGATGGTAATTAAAATCTCCTGAACAATGTCTTACTGAAAAGACATTCCGCTCTGCAAGGCAAGGGATGTGGCTCAGCTGGCAACAGCTTTCCCAGCAGGAAAGCCAGGTGTGGTGCCTCACGCTGCAAGCCCAGCTCAGGAAGGAGAGGAAAGAGAACCAGAAATTCAGATTCATCCTCCGGCTGAGGCCAGTGTGAGCTACATGAAACCCTGCCTCAAAACCGACAACAAAACAAAAAAGAAAAAAATTGCGCGTGAAAATCTTCAACATTTTTAATTAGATATTTAAGGTTTCTCACATCAATAATGTTCCACTGACATTACTGATAATTATCTGTGAAGATACTAAAGTAAAAGCCAAATAAATCAAAGACACAGCTACTCAAGTCAAGACAGCCTAGTCTTCCTACTACTTCAAAGTCTAATTGAAATAGTTTAAGTAGCTTTAATAGTGAAAGTATTTTTTTCATCAGGGCTGGAGAGATGACTCAGCAGTTAAGAACACTGGCTGCTCTTCCAGAGGATCCATCTTAAATTCCCAGCACCCACATGGTGGCTCGTAATCATCCCTTAACTCCAGTCCTAAGGAATATGATGCTCTCTATTGGCCACTTTGGGTATTACATGCATGTGGTGCACAGACATGCAGAGGAAACATCCATACACGTAAAACAAAAACCAATTTTTCTCATACATTAAAGCAGTAACTTAAGTAAAAGAAAATGATTATTTTTCTAGAAGAATTTCTTCTTGGAAATTTGCTTTGTATTTTTAAAAGCTGAATTACATTCATCTGGAAGACACAAGGTGAATTCTTCCTGAAAGTGTCTTGCAAATAAAGAAACAGACTGGCTATCAGATTCAAACATGCTTCTTTAAGAAAACATGAAATAACCCTAAAACATGTAGGATGCTTACTGTGTGATAAGCACCAAGGGAGGAGGTAGATGCATGCTGATTACAAGGGTACACAGAGTCCTTGTTCTGATGGATTGATAGGTACTAAGTAAAAGGATGGAATTAATCCCAATAATCTGGGCGCTCAATTCTAATTTTTGCAAGGTAAACTATTATTCCCTTATGCTGATGTCGGGAAACAGACATGCAAGCCCAGCTTGGCCCCTCCTCTCATTACGTCACCACACTGTGTCCTCCAAGTCCAAATGCAGACTCACACAAATAACTGTATCAGCTACTTCAATTACCAGTGTCAGAAGGAAACTCTAAAGGGTTACCATGAAATATCTGCATGAAAATATTTTCATCAACTGATATAGACGGGAATAAAAAGTTCAACCCAACCCGAGTGCCCTCGACAGGTGAAATGAGGTCAGATATTCCTTTGACACGTCTTCCCTCCCAGACTGAGAACGACGACGGGACACCTGGCCCTGAAGCTCGCTAATGGTGTGCGCCTGCTCTGCACACTTCCCCTTGCAGCGCTGCAGGTTCTCCTGACACTCCTGAAGTCTCTGCGCGGCTGACGTGAAGGAGTGGCGGGCTCGCTCTACCTGCTTCAAATGAGACTCCACCTGGCCTCTCATCTGAGGTGTGGCATCAGGGGAAATAAATGCAAGGTCACACATATACCAAGAATATGCTTTCTCTCTTAAAGACTAGACATGCTTGTTATTAATAAGTACTTTACAAATGTTAAGTTACACGAGACATATGACTGAAATTCATTCATTTTCAAAACGCTTGTCGTCTGGTGCTATCAGCCCACTTCAGGTGTCACACACAGGACGGACTGAGGAACTGGTGGTTTCTTTTCCACTGGTTCTTCTTCAGCTCTCCAGTAACTGTCCCTTTATAGCACTTTATAACTAACACATGCCCTTTCAGTCTTCTTGGCCTAAATCAGCCTTCACTGAGCGTTGTTTCCGACAGCTAACACATCGGTTCTCACTGGGCTATATGTGGTCACTGTCCTGCCATGTGAGCAAATCTAATTCACCCACAGTGCTCCGCTCACCTCCTGCCCTTTCTCACTGCAGCACTCTGTAAATATTGGAGAACAGTGTGCTGATGCAACCCAAGGAATGCCACCCTGCTCTGTGTAACCATAAACAACTAAAATGTGACGTTCAGGATGTTCTCACGGAGGAAATGCAAGAGGGTAACTTGCCTGAGTTGGGGACACCCACAGTTTCGGTGCAACATCTGGCCATCTTGAAAACAAGAGATAAAACCAGAATAAAGCACACCTCTGAATCCCTAAAACAGCTAAGAAGCCATGAGAAAATCAGGAGATTCAAGCAATGGATAAATAAAAAGAATTTCTTTTTAAAACAGCATCCTTTTCCAGTTCTACACAGAAAACATTATAAGAACAGTAGCTGGAGAAGCAGGCTCCTCCCCTTTGTGCCTTTGAACAGGTTTGAACTGGTTTTCACTGCACCCCCTAGCAGAAGAGGCACTGTCCTGTGAGAAACAGACCACATGAAATGGCATCTTCTGTGGCCTGCTAAAATGGGTGAGAAACAGCTCTAAGAAAGGGTCCAGTTCCTCATTTGGTGGCCTAGTGGCCTGTCCTGGCTGACCTTGACACCTCACTCTTGGTTCCCAGTCTCAAAATGTGCCAGCACCACAGCAACAGTAGCCATGGACTCTGGGCCCTACCACTAACATCCCCGACCCCCAGCCAGGAACCGGTGTCCTATGACTCTCTCTCTGTTTCCTTACCAAAACAATGTGAAATCCAAAAGGGAATGTGGTTCCATCTAAAAACTTAAAAATATTCACAAAAACACCATCACCTGCCAAAACTGGCTTCTCTGGCTTCTGTTGCAACTGGGTGAATAAAGGAAGAGGTTTCTCAAGATATCATTTTTCCTCCCAAAATGTATTTACCAGAGACTATTTACTTTGCAATTTTTTTAGACACAAAAAATGTAAAAATAGAAAAAAAGAGACCAGTTTGCATTTTACTGCTGATAGATCTCAGTAATAAATAATTGGGCCTTTTTAGTTTTAATCTACTCCTGTATCGAAAAAAATAAAGCATTCATGCTATTTCTCAAATATGAATAAAAAAAGTAAAAAGACGTTCTCACAAATAAACAACATTTCACCACGCCTGAGAACAGTGTATCTTCAAGGGGAAGAGAGACCCTCCCCCGGCGGCGACTCTGAAGGGGTCATCCCTAGGCACGCACTCACAAAACGACAGGGAGCAAGGCGGCCGCACGACAGCCAGGGTCAAAGGTTGCACACACGGAAAATACTTTGCTACTTCAATTTCAAACTTACCTTCTCTAACTTCTTGTTTTTGTTTTTTATTATTAGGTTATTTTCATGTAGCAAATTTTTACATCTGCTTTTTACCATTTCAGCTGCTTCTTGCAACTTTTGTACCTTAAAAAAAAACACACAGACTGTAAAGTACCATGTATTATTTTAAGTATAACATGAAATAAAAGCTAAAGCATGTAGTTATATTTATTTCACTTTGAATTTGTATTTTAAAGAAATCATCATTCTCTCTCAGCATGTTTATGTAACATTACTCCTGACAGAATTTCTTAATGTACAATTCTACCTCATCCCTTCATTATCTACCTGTCTTCTCTGATCAATGTTCTTATACTCTTTACTTGAGCTCTAAAGACTACATCAATTTTCATTTTCAGGTCATTGATTCTTTAAGAAACTAGTCTCTCATTTCCTCTTACACCTGTCATAACAGCTAAGATCAATAAAACAAGTGACAGCTCATGCTGGCAAGGGGAACACACATCCATTGTTGGTAGGAACGTAAACTGCACAGCCACTATGAAATCAGCGTGGCAGTTTCTCAGGAAGATGGGAATTGATCTACCTCTAGATCCAGCTATACCACTCTTGGGTGTATACCACAGAAAGACTTGTTCAGCCATGTTCATTGCTGACCTATGCATAATACAGAAACTGGAAACAACCTAGATGTCCCTCAATAAAAGAGCAGATAAACAAAATGTCCATTTACACAATGCACAGCAATTTAAAAATGAAATAATAAAATTTGCAGGTAAATGGATGGAACTAGAAAAAAGCATCCTGATTGAGGTAACCCAGACCCAGAAAGACAAATGTGTTATGCATTTGCTTCTGTGTGGATCTTAGCTGTTAAGGCAATGATAACCAAGCTACAATCTATGGAACTATAGAGGGTAGGCAAAGAGTAAGGGACTATGGGGGACAGATAGATCTCATTTAAAAAAGGAAATAGAATAGGTAGTTATGGGTGGGTGGGCTGGAACAGGAGGATGAAGTGGTGGTGGGAAGGACACAGGAGGGAATACAGGGAGAAACATCTAAAACTAAGGGTCATTTGAGGAGTAGTATGGAAACCTAATACAGTAGAGGTTTCTTAACACATACATAAACATATATGAAGGTAATCTAAATGAAACCTCCAGATAATGGGGAAACAAAGTCCCCAACTCTCTTTTGTCAACAAACAAAGCTTCCAGTACCAGGATTAGGTTACATCTAATTGAGTTGTTAGCCAAATAGGTCCCATAGGAATCCCCCAAACAACCCAGGCTGTTGCCAAGACAACATACCACAAACTGACAACAAGGCTCCATTACTGAAGACAACACCTCCACAACCCATTGAACATGGAGACATCGAGCTGGTCACTCACACATTCTAACATCTCTGGTACAGGAAGGTACTCTGCACAGTACCAAAAGAGAAAGGCAAACACCAAGCCAGCTGTAGCATGAATCTTAAAGGTTTTATTAATAAAATCAAACCCAGAGCCAGATATTGGGGTAAATGCTAGAAGATCAGAGAAGCAGAACAAGCCACAGCCACCTCACCTTGCCAATTCCTCAGCTGATCCTCTTTCCTCATACTGGAAGCCTCTGAGTCTTCATCCAGAATGAATCTCAGCTGAACTGTTTATTCAAAAGCCTAAATGCTTAACCAGCTCTAGTTTCTGGTTTTCACACCTTGTATACCTTTCTGCTTTCTGCCATCACTTCCTGGGATTAAAGGCATGAGTCACCATGCCTGGCTGTTTCCAGTGTGGCTTTAAACTCACAGAGATCCAGATGGATCTCTGCCTCCTAAGTGATAGGATTAAAGGTGTGTGTGCCACCATTTTCTGGCCTCTATATCTAGTGGCTGTTCTGTCTCTGACCCCAGACAAGTTTATTAGAGTGCACAATATTTTGGGGAACACAATATCACCACAGCCAGCCACAAGCCCTTTCATCTACAATAGTGTCCTGCCTGTAAGACACACTAGGGCAATGGTAACACAAAGCTTGTGGGAATCACCAACCAATATCTGACTTGACTTAAGACCCATTCCAGGAGATGGAACTCATACCTGCCTGACATTGCTTGGTGACCAAGAGCCTGACACTAGATAGCCCAGGGACCTAGGACAAAACCAAATACTACTGTTCTAAGCAAACAAACAAGTAGAAACAAAACCAACTCCTAATGACATTCTGCCATACTCATAGATCAGAGCCTTGCTCAGCCAACATCAGAGAAGCTTCCTCCTGCAGCAGATGTGAACAAATGCAGAGACCCAAGCCAGACATTATGCAGAGAGTGAGAGACCTTGAAACACTCAGTCCTAAACAGTGTCTCCATCAAATTCTTTCCTGCAGGGCTCAGGAAACCCTGCAGAGGAGGAGACAGAAAGAGTGTAAGAGCCAGAGGGGATGGACAACACCAAGAAAACAAGGCCTTCTAAATCAATATGTGCAAAGTTCATATGAATTCAGAGACTGAAGCCTCATGCATAGGGCCTGTACGGGTCTGTACCAGGACCTCTGCATTTATTTTATGGCTTCCATTTTAATGTTTATATGGGATTCCTGAGTGTGCAAACAAGTGGGTCTCTAATTCTTGTGCCTTCTCTTGGGCTCTTTTCTTTCTGTTTGATTGTTTTGTCCAATTCTGATGTGTTAGTTTTTGTTTTATCTTATTATATTTTACTATATTATATTTTGTTTTATTTTATTATTATCCCTTAGAAGCCTGCCAATGAGAGACAGAAAGGGAGTGGATCTGGATGGGAGGGGATGTGGGGAGGAAATGAGAAGAGTAGTGGGAGAAAAGAAAATACAATCAGGATACATTATGTGGAAAAAATCTATTTTCAATAAGAGAAAAAAAAAACTAGCTCCCATTCCAATAATTTTCCCCATGAAATCAAAATCCATCCAAAGGGCATGGGTGAACTGTGCACACTGCCCAGCAGCTACAACATGATACATTCAGATGAAGCATGCTTGCTGAGGCCTAAAAGCCAACAAGCAGGCAGACACTGATAGTGTGCTCGGCACACAGTCCTCCAGGCTCCATGCGCCCCTCCCCCTGCAGCCCTTTAGCTGGGCATCTCAACTGCCACCCAGCCCGTCTAGATGCAGCCCCTCCTGCTTGCTACACTTTACTCCACCTTCGGCTTTTGCCTGCAATACATTTTCTTTCCTTCCGTCCTCCTTTCACGGTCCCTCTCCCTCCCACAACGCTGGGGACTGAACCCAAGGCCTCACACCTGCCAAGCAGGCAGTCCTTGAGGGCACCACACCGCCGCCGTCCTTCACTATTCTTTACTTATACTCTCCCAATAACAGCTCTCTTTAATGAGCACTTTGTTCCTATCATGCAAGCATCTGTACACATCCAGTCTTTCCCAGTTTCCCTTCAACACTGCACTTCCGAACCTGAAAGCTGAACTATATAACTAATCACTGGACATACATTCTACTTTAGATAAATCACCGTATGTTCTTTTGTGTATTTGTGGTGCATGTGTGTGTACATAACTGCATGTGTGTGCTCTTTGTGTGGATGTCAGAGGTCGAAATCAGGTGTCTTTTCTACCATTCTCTACTTTATTTCTGAGACAAGGTCTCTCACTGAAATGAACTACTAATGTGGCTGAGCTGGCCAGATAGGAGTTCCAGGGATCAGTATGTCTCCACCCCCCAAGTGTACACTGCTGTGCTCAGCTTTGTAGTTGGGTCCTGGGGATCCAAACTCAGGTTTTCATGCTTGCATGGCAAGCACACTACCAACTGAGTCATCTCACCAAGTCTCATATGTTTCTTTCCATGTATTTCACGTGAATAAATCTGAATTATACATTACTTATTAGGAAAAGGGAGTACTGGATTTAATGACTCTTGGTGACAATCATTGTTGTAAATCAATGTCATTAAATATACTAACAAGATTCCATATTAAGATTCTCATCACCCCTGTGCAATCGATTTTAAATTTCCTTTTAGGAATATCTAATATTTCCATAAGTAGTGCCAGCACTAGGAATTGGCAAGACCACCTCTATGAAGGCATACGGAGTTTTAAGGAATGTTTGAGACACACTGTATTACGTCACAAATATTCACCCCATCTCTTCAGTTCTGTCGACTTGAGCCACAGTGGTTTAAGTCATCTACAGATTTCAATAAACCTTAGCAAGTTACCTGAGTTTTATATACGTCAATGAGAGTTTTCTGTCGTTTCTCTATTTCTTGTAATTCTACGAGTTCATTTTCAACAGAAACAACTTCATCCTTCAAAGCATCAAGCGTACTCTAGAAAGAAATACATGATTGATGGGAGGTTTTCAGCCAACAGAACATTATAATCCATGTTGAAGAATTATTAAAGCATACCTCATTCATCAACATCAATGAAATAATCATTTTTATGGCATATAATTTCCACCTAAAATTAATAACTAATACTCATGAATAAATTTAATCAGTACACAGATTTTTAAAAATTTACTAACAAATAAAAGAGCTGAAAAAAGTTGAGTTCTAAATAAAAAGAATCAATAACATTGACATGTCAAGTTTTCCACATTCATTTAACACTTCTCAATCTCAACCAAAAGTGTAACAGTTGGAGGTTATACGACAAAACTAAGACTCGTATGGCAGCTGGGCATGGTGGCACGTACTTACGAGGCAAAGGCAGAGGAATTGTTGCAAGGTCTAGGCCAGCCAAGGCTATTTAATAAAACCTAGTCTCAAAATTAAAAGCAGAAATAAAAACACCTTATATGAGAGAATAAACAGGAAAGACCAAACAATTTATAAAGGATACTAAGTGAACAATATCTATGCTTACTAGATATTGAAATATATAAAGCATTAAGTTGTCAAGACACTAAGAACACAGAAGACAGAAGAAAAGGAAAAGAAAAATACACAAAACATAGTATACATTCAACACTGGGTTTTAAACCATTAGGGGAAACATGGGCTGTAAATGAGCCTCAAATAAACTACAAGTACTTGGGAAACAGGTTAACCACCTGCCTTGGCCAACTGCTAAAGAAGCACCAAACAAATTAAATGTTTTTAATTATAAAGATATGAAAGAAGATCCAGACAAAACTGTACATGACTTTAGAAGAGCACAAACTCTACTCAGATGTTAGGACTGGCAAGGATATTCTCCTTGTGTGCATGCCAGTTAGCCTACCACAGTTTCACAGATGCTAGCATAAGGCACAGACCAGGTAAGAGGCAGAGGCCGTTATTTATTACCCATAGCAGTAGCGGCAAAACCACAGGCATTGTGTTAACTTCCTGAGGCGTACCTCCAATGGGGTAAGACAAAGGGGCTGATGACAACTACCTATGGACTGGGATGTATTAAAAGAAGGAAAATGTAAAAACTCAAATATCTCATAATAGGCAGAGAGCATGTCTGTTCTTTGCGTGAAAGAAAACTACTGGTATCTACTGAGGATGTTGTCCTCATCAGCCTTGACTGTTAGCACGGCCTACAGTCAACTGAGGAACTGCTTAGTTCAAGCTGGCCTGTGGGTATGTCTGCGAGGGGTCGTCTTGATTATTACCTGATGAAGAAGGGCCCAGCCTGCTGTAGGCAGCACCACTCCCCAGGCAGGTGGTCCTGAGCTTTATAAAAAATCTACCCCCCACCCGCAAAAGCTGAACAAAAACAGAGACTGAAAACAAAGTATCAATCCAGGTCAATAACTCATCAGCATGTATCCTGAACTAGAGAAAATAGAAAGGGAGAGGAGACAGCATTCCAAAGAAACAATACACAATATATCCATATAAATGTGTATAAAATCTTAACACAGCAAAGATAAAGGAATATTTCCAACATAAATGTGAAGCAGGATTTCCACAGAATAAGAATCAGACTAGCAACAGATTGCTTTCTAATAACAACTGTACTTGCAAAATACACTAAAGTAAAGGATCACCCTCTCTCTGGGATGCTATATCCACTTGAAGTCAGGCAAATGAAGGCATAATAAAGATATTTTCAGACACGTGAAGCCCTTTTACATGCACTTCTTCCTATTTTCTCTTTTTAAGGTTAAAAAGAATTTAAAGATATAGTGTAACAAAAATGAGAGCTCCTAACTAAGCAGGCAGTGTAGACTCAAGGAGAGGCAGCCAGGAGACTCCAGCACACCTGGAGAGCAGCCCACTGAGGCAGCAGGGATGCGGAGGGGCGGGGATGCGGGGATAGGGGATGGGGGGGTGAGTGGGGGGGGCGCGGCAGGGATGCAGAGGGGCTCCTGCAGAACAAGAGTACAGACGGGCTTCCAGGAACACAAATATGAAACAGGACTTCTGGAATGTTTATCCTTTAAGAAATGAAGCATTTTCTTTTCTTTGCATTAGAAACACACTTGTTTCCTTTCTTGAAACGATTATGATTACTGGATGTTTAAAATTATGTTCACACTAGGAAAATTTCAGTGGACGTTTCAGGCATTTATTGATGGACTTTTAGGAAAATGATGGGATTCCAGACTTTGAGTTTCATAATTGTTGGAGTTCCCTTGGTGGGGAGGGGTTGACATCCACATCTTTTCTACTCTTTCTAAACTTCTATTTCTGTTTCTAGAACATGAGTCTTAGAGAATTTTGTGATTATTTATTTCATGGTTCAAATGCTTCTTTTCTGATTTCTGTTTTGTGGAGCTGAGAAGGTGCCCTCATGTTCAGTCACGTCCCGTCCAGTCACAGGCGTGTCTCTGTCTAAGAACTCAGGTTCCCTTTTTTCTCAGAAAGTCTAAAATCTTCCTCTCTCATCTCTTCTCTGGGACACATATAAACCAATCACTCCTGGGACTTGGCTCAGTTGAAAATTCTTTCTGGTTATAAAGCAGCCAAGAACATACTTTCTGGTTTCAAACAGACCCAGCCTGATGGTGAACCATATGGTAACCATGACACCTACAAATAGTTTTGTGCAGTAAAGCTAATGCAATTTTGGATGATTCACTGCTAAAATTAGAGAGTAAATAAACTGTTTTAAAGTTGAGACAAAGAGAGAGTTGTCCAATCTCATAAGCCTTGTTTTGTTAAATGCAATTTAAACTCATTTTTGTATTTGTGACTAGAAAGCTTAAAACTTATATACATGAAAAAGACATTATCTGTGTATCTAGAAATTATCTATCTTAAAAATACAATATCATGAGAAACATGAAAGACAAAACAATACATGAGCATTGCCCAACCTTGCCTTTACTCCAAGGTATTGCTACTAAGTATGCACACAGACACACACAGACACACAGACACACACACACACACACACACACACACACACACACACACACACACTACCTTTAAGTTCACATTCTCAATATTTAGGGCTTCATTTTCATCTTCAAGTGAGTGAAGTTTTCTAAGAATTTCTTCACATGAGTTTTTTCCGTGAGTTTCCATTTTCTTCAAATCTTCCAAAAGATTAACGATTTGCCTTTATAAAATAAGTGAAAGCATGGAAAATTTCATTCAACTAACAGACTATAAGTGTTTTTAAAATTATTCTGGTAGGGTGCACTGGTTAAAATGGAAAAGGTTCAGGAAGGCGGCAGGACGGATACAGCAAGGGCAGACCCAGGGCTGTGCTCAAAGCAGCCAGGGTTAGAAATACTCACCTACTGATGATGCCGTCTAGCCTATCGCCCACAGGAGGCATGTCTGCCCCTCCCTCTCACAAACAATGCATATGCAAAAATACACACACACACACACACACACACACACACACACGGATCAAGTGAGGTAGTGACACCTCCTCCTAAGAGGCAAATTACATGTTAGTTCTCCATGATCAAGCATAACAGCACGGGAATAAAACTTAAGGCAAATATTAGGGTCTGTTACTGCTCCACAGCAGCAGCGTCAAAGAACAGAATGGGTATTTTTACTCATTAACTTTCTGTTATGCACTTCAGTCCCTTGAATTAAGGGATAATAACTTTTAGGATTTTGAAACTTACATTATAAACTTCGCTTCACTCATATCCTTGTTTAATTGAGAAACATCACTTCTACTTAGAACAAAGTTATCTATATTTATAAGAAATAACAGAGATACACACTTAAGCACAAAGTGCAAATCTGCAAGTTCCACCTTTAAAATGGGAATAGCAATGCATGTTTAAAGAGTAATCATTCTCACTCCCATTTCTTAGTAGAAGAACAGCTTATCACTATCAACAACACCTTTACCACATAGAATCCAGAAGAACCAAAGCATGCAGTGTTGGAGAAGAATCAAGTCACTTTTCATTATACAATGACAATCTAAATTCTTGCTTACTTTTTCATTGTTTCAATCTGAACTTCCAGTTCAGTTTTTTCTATTACAATTTTCTCATAATGACTTTTCCAGGCATTGGAAGCTGAAACTGTTTCGGACAACTTGGCTTCCTAAAAATATATAAAGCATTCATCTTGTAACTTAAAAGTGTTTTTTACAGGTCTTAGGCACAAACACTCTGTAAATATGAAAGCACTCTTCCAGTAAAGCATGCAGCTTTTCCTATAGAGAAGCTCAGTGTGCAGCTTCCAAAAGAGGAAAACGTTAAAGTGAGCTTTAATGAAACACCCATATGACTATGACTTTACATGTGCACAGTACAGTTCCAACTTACTATTTTAAGATGCTGACGTGACTAGTTTTAAGGAATATTTCACAATTACTAAAATAATTTCTGTTTTACTTATGAATGCCTCTTCATTTTCCATTCTTTACACAGAAGAGCTAACAACCACATACATGTGAGAAGAGGGTTTCCCCAATATAGAGAAACTATTTGCAATTCCACGGCTCGCAGCATCTTCAAATGCAGGCTTATTTGTCTGTCTAGAGGTCACCCATCAGCTTGCCAACACGGCTGCTGTCAGCAGAGGGCAGGGGCTCAGCCAGTGTGCATGGGAGAGCCACAGAGGAGGACTTCTGTCTGTTTCCTTCATCGTTGCTGCCAGGAACACTCAGTAAATGCCAATGGCTCTCGGCACCACTCTGTGGCTTTGTCCACACTCTACAGAGAGCAAACTCACTAGTTATAAGAGTGCCAGTTAACCATGAATCAGAGGACCCACAAACAGTCTGGACAGCAGTTAACATACTATTTTCCTCTTTCCTTCTATCATTCACTCATTCATAGAAAAGTTTATTGGTCATCTTGTATGTACAAGATATGGTCTACGCTTTTCACAGAAATGTTTGTTACACTGAAGACTAGTACCTTAGTTCATATTTTGCGTAAAATAAACTTTAATATAAATTATAAAGTAAGAGATGGCTATGACATATACTATAAAGTCAGTTCATATTATAATGTATATAATGTAAGATACTGAGGTATTAAATCCATGGAAGAAATGTATATATTAGATATGTAAAGTCCTCATTTCTTCTTTCACCTGTCCTTATGGAAACACACAAAGCAAGAGCCCCTCACCTTCCACTGCAACGGATCTGCTTCTGAACTAGTACTGTGGCAGCCTCCGAATTACCGCAGATCTCACAGACCCTTCCTAATCCCCAAACTCCTTGTTTTCTCTGTGTTGTATTGCATGGACATGCATGGTAAACCAAATAAGACTTCAATAAAATGTGCCATGGTTGAACTCATTTGTGTTTCAGGCTTGAGACCAACTTGAGGGAGAAGAGAAAAACATGAGATAGCTTCAGAGAGAAGGAAATTCCATAAATTAAGACATTAATATGATGAGTTGAAAAGGGGCTGATTCGAGGGAAAAGGAGGCAGTGACAATGAGCAAGGAAGACCTTAAAGCCAGAGGCAGCAGCCAGTCAACAGGGCAGCCAACTCCACACGCTGAGGCTCAGAAGAGAGACAGCATATAGCAGCCCCATCTGAGTTCTCATGCATGCTCCCCCAGCCACTGGAGGAAGCAGCATTCTTATGTCCTAGTTCACAAAAGAACTGAAGGTCAGAGAGGCCAAACACCTTCTGTACAGTCTCCAGTGCAGGAGCCTTTCCAGACTGGCCTGGGGCTCTGGTGATGTTAACTCAAGGGGGAAGCCTCCAGAGCGCCAAGCCAGGAGTAGTGTCGAGCATTCCAAGCATCTGTGGGTATCCAGTCAGGTTACAACCTTGTAGGTGCTGAGCCTAGTCTTCAATTCAATATCTAGTTACTCAAGTGAGTGTAAGGTAAATATTAGAGCCTTAAAAGGGTGAGATTTGAGCTTATAAAATATTAACTTGTTTTGTTTGTACAAGCTTTTACACAAGTCTGTTTTCATTTCCAAAAGCCACTAATAAATCTATAAGCCTTAGCATACGTTCTTAAGAGGTGGGATACTAGTGAGCCACAGCAACAATGAATATTTGATTGGTTGGCAACTGAGTAAGAATACTGATTTGTCAGAAGAACAAAGCACTAGGCCATTTCTCAGCTCTGTGTTAGACTCAAAGATATCTTTCACATGTTTGTTGACGTCAGCATATGGCTTCAAATGCATTACAGAGGTTAAATGAAGTGAATTACTGAATACAGTCATATGGTCTAATAACATAAATCAGCATTTCCCAAACTGATATTTCTCAGAACCATTTCCAAGAGCTGCTTTGTGGGCACAAGAAGAGTTCTGTGGTTAAGTGTGGGAAATTCTTCCTTCCATGCCTTCATTACCGCCTTCTGAGAGCCTTCTCAAGGCCTTTAATGTTAATATGCACTGTAACTTTCCAGTAGGCAAGACGGAGGAAACCTTACTCTTAACTAGCCACAAAAGCTTTTGGTGTGTGTGTGTTAGGGAGGGGGCATGGCATATACTTACATTTCCTTTCAGTAAGCCCCCCAAAATGCTATAGATTTCAAATTGTGTATATTATGATACATAATCTTTCAAAATAAAAAGCAAAAAGATGAGTAGATTTTTATAGCATAAATAGTAACATGGATAAGAATGATACCATTATCTAAAGCTTCACAACATTAACTAGGCTAACTAACTATGCTATCTAACTATGCTGTCGAACTATACTAACTAGTCATATTGTCTAACCATGCTGTCTAACTAACCATGCTATCTAACTAACTCTGATATTTAAGTGCATGAAGCATCTTATACAAGAATGTGCACACTCACCTGAGCTCTAATCTGGGAAGTGAGGTGTTCAATATCCCCCGTGAAGTGTTTCAGCCGTTGTCTGTAAACTTTGGATGCTTTTTTCAGAGCCACACCTTTCTGCCTACTTGCTTCTTTGATGGCTACAGCTTCCTGCTTATTCAATTTCACCTGCAAGTTCCACTTGGCTATTTGGGTTTCCAAGCTCTAAAAAATGTTAAAAGAAATTAAATTACACCAGAGCTTCAATGTTTAAAGAAATGTTGCAAAAACACATATGTCACCTTCCACACAGATTTTATCCAAAGAACTAATCATGAATAGTTAAAAAGTTAAACAGTGATAAGAGGTGGCATAGCCAAAACTTCTTATAGCAAGTTAAAAAACGAAAATTCAACATATTTCAGTATATATAAACTAATGGCATTATGACTAAAGAGACTAATATTTGTGATTATGGCAGAAACATCAGCTTCCTAAAAGCTCCCATGATCAGATATCATTTAGTTCACATATGAAATATAACATAGGACAGTTGAAAATATGACCTTAATCTTAGGTATGCAAAGCTCAAAAGGAACCAGTAACTCATCAGATACCTGGGAGTGCCTCAGGGGAGCAAGATGCACAGGGCATGGAGGATGAAGACAAGAGAAGCCAAGACCCGGTGACCAAACTTAACTTTAGGATCGGAAGGAATCTGCTAATCCTTGACGTTCCAGCCAGGAGAGTAACTGCTTACCCAGGAGTGGCAAACAGTTTGAATGATGTGCAAGGGCGCAGCCACTGAATGGGATGGTGCTAACGGGCAGGACCAATTCCTTGACACGCTCTTGGTAAAACATGAGAGAGCTGGTCCAGTGGGACAACTGTTATGCTTTCCTTTCAAATGATTCTAAGTATCTGAGCATTAAGTGCTGTATGTAAATATTAATGAACATGAAGTATATAAGAACTAATGACTAGAGATTGCTAAGCTTTTGTATTTTTAAAATTACATGCATGTTAAATCTGAAATTACAGGATCCGTGCTTGGCACTACCATTCTTGGGGCAGCCATTTCAGCTAAAAGTAAATTTAGGACTCACAGTGGTAGATAGGCTTTTCTACTTAACCCTGTGACCAATAAAGGCTATGTTTCCCTTCACTTCCATGAATGTTATAATTAAGAAGCATGTCGCTGGACGGTGGTGGCCTTTAATCCCAGCACAAGGGAGGCAGAGCCAGGCAGATCACTGTGAGTTCAAAGTCAGCCTGAGATCCAGGACAGGCACCAAAACTACACAGAGAAACACTGTCTTGAAAAACCAAAAAAAAAAAAAAAAAAAAGAAAAAAAGAATGTCTTTGGATTTCATCTCTGTGGACTAGTTAGGTAAATTTTGCAGCAGCAACTACCTCTTCTACAAATTTAACTTAAACAATCAGACAAAAAAAAAAAAAAAGTCCCATGAGCGCTCCAGTAAATAATTGGGAAACATAAACTGGAAGGTCAAGTTCCTGTGTGAGAAAGGACCTGCCCAGAAGAAATACAGCAGTCATTCCTCAAGACGGCCACACGGTGTCACCACCACACTATCCAGTTTGGGCATTTGCTTAAAATCTTCTTAGAAAGTTTAAAAAGAGACCATAAAGTTAAGAGGGTTACGTGGCGGAGGGAGGAGGTGGCTGGGGATGGATATACTCAAAACACACTGTATACATATATGAAATTCTTAAACCCTACACTGCAATATTCCAGGGATAGAATAAAACTGGCAAATTATTTTTAGTTTCAAAATAAACCCTCAGTCATTTGCCAAGTAAATGGACACATATGAGATAGCATGAAATGTGTGCGTATTATGTACATATACATCACCGGTTATACAGTGGACTACACATATGTCCTACTGTGCATACATGTGTGTACAGACACAGCAGGACATAGATCATTATTCACTATCTCTTCTAAAAATATTCTAACTCCAACTGACATACTCTAAGAATTTAGAAGGAAAAATTGGATCAAAGCATCCAATATTGCAGAATATCTTTGGGATATTCTGAAAGATTTAAAATGTAAATTTTTAAAAGGCCCAATGAATGACAACAATTAAAAACCTGAGATTTAGGTTGCCAGACAGAATTGTTTTTACACTTAAAAAGTAAATGTGTTAAACTCAAAATCAAGTAACTAAATTCTAATCCTCCCACCACATTATTCACAGCTTTAAATTCCAGATTTTATGTATTTATTTTACATAATATAATTAATGTATACAAATAAGGTCAAACTGTAATTAAAGTGTGTGTGAGAGGAAAGCGGAACAGCAAGGCCCCAAAGCCACCTGTTTCCTGTCCTTAGCAGTGGCAGTGCTGAGGGACCCGTATATCAAAACGGGGATGCCACAGCAGAGCTCTGGACCTTAGCCTTACGTTATGTCTCCAGATTAATCAAGTATACTTAAAAAACCAAAAAATACTGTTAAAAATTATCTTTGAAAATAACTCATTATTTCATTTAGAATTTAACAAACAAAAATCAACTGCTCTTTGAGGGCACTTTAAGACCATGAAAGATGATCTGAACTGGGTGACTGACAGGCTGGATCCCATTATTTGCCTGTGCGTGCCTGCACAGCATTGGCACAGCACACCACTGTGTCTATATCACCCACGCAGAGAGCAAAGAGGATCCACGAGGGCTACGGTGGAAGGTTCGTGGAGGAACAGGTACAGAGAATGAAGGACGATTTCCTACTGACAGAGTCCAGTGGAGGGAAAATCAATGCCTCCAGTTGGCTACCACTCCTGACTCCAGCCAGGCTCTGATGGACAGCTCCAAACCAATGGCTACACAGATGCCACGGTTAAACTAAAAGCAAGGTTGAAGGTCATGTATCTAGGGAAGGGGGCAGCGGGATGGGAGGGAGTGATAAGGACAGAAGGGAGCCGGAGAAGGCAGGCGGAGCGTAATCAGAATATACCAGACACATGGATGAAATTGGCAAAAAAAAAAAATTAATTAAAACAAATGCCATCCTCTATAAACCTGCTCACTATCCTCAGAAAGGCAAAAGCTCTTTGCCACTTAAGGACCAGGAGAGCTCTTGAAGCAGGTGCTAGAAGCTGCAAATGTCTGCTACGATTCAGGACAAGAAAACGGAGGTCGACCTAGACATTCTCACCCTTGGTCTGTAGAAGTCTCTGAAGGAAGGAACACTGTTTCTTTTCCTTTGGCAAAAAAGTAAGATAGTGGATCCAATTAGGTTGTGACACGTAACAGCACCCTCAGGCTCTGACCTCAAAACAACTGTGACTGGGAACACCTTTTTAAATCAAACATTCCTTCGAACTGCACAAATACAAAAGGTCTCAGTGCTCTAAATACAAAAACTGAGCTCATCTCAAAATTATTAGAATTTGTAACAAAAGAAACAACTTACTGATTGCCTATTAGATACATGTGAGAATATGCATAAAAGGTATACAGACATGGAAAAGACGGGAATACTCTGCAACCAAATGTTAACAACAGTTTTGGTGTCCTAAAGTTATTTTAACTTACGTTTCCATAACTTACAAAAATGTCCACAGTAAACATAAATTAACTGTATGGTGAGAAAGATTAAAAGACTTAAAATCTCTGCTGGGGTAATCTTTTTGTACACTGTGTGACGGTGTGTCATCTGCCTAAGACACCTTCCGATTGACTTAATAAAGAGCTGAATGGCCAATAGCTAGGCAGGAGAGGACAGGTGGACAAAGAAATTTCTTTCCAGACAAAGAAATTCTGGGAAAAAATCTGAGGTGGAGGATTCACCAGCCAAACATGGAGGAAGTTGGACAGACGGTACTGAGAAGAGGTAACGGACACATTACCGAACATAGACTAATATAAATGGGTTAATTTAAGTTTTAAGAGCTAGTTGGGAACAAGCCTAAGCTAAGTCCAAGCTTTTCATAATCAGTAAAAAGTCTTGTGTCATTATTAGAGAGCTAGTAATAAAAAGAAAGACCTGCTACAAATCTCCACACATTCTTCCTAAATTGAAATATAAAAGGAAACATTTTCATACAGTGATCTGGACCTAAATATTCAGAAGGCTAGACACCTTATGACTCAGATTTATATTCAGTGTTTTCCACAGAAACACCAAAATTACATTCTTTTATTATCACTGAATTTCACAATTAAGCGAGGCTGTTAAAGTTCGTTTTTCATTAATTTTATTACTTAAACTATAAAAATGGATATTCATAACCTTTACATGTTCTTTTAGCTTGTCATTCTCAGCTTCCCTTTTCTGAATTTGGAGGTGTAGACGATCATGTACGACTTTGACTGACTGAGAAAACCGGTTTGCTTTCAAAGCACTTTCCTGTAATAGAAAAGAAAGACAAACACTAAGTTCCTGTGTCTCTTTATCTCTGACAGAGCCCGGAGTCTGAGTCCACCTGAACAGAAGGTGAAGCAGAGCACTCCTGTCCATACACTGTGGCCCGGTGAATGAACTTCATATAAAATTGCATGTAAAACTCCCACATGTATTCAATGCCTTCTACTCATCTCCTATAAACCTTCCCATCTCTCCTCCCAAGTAAAATTTTAAGTATGTGCAAAATGTTACTTCAAATACCAAAATTATTTAATTTTTCCAAACAGATTAAAATATAAATTTATAGCTCTTAAATGTGCATGTGTATATTTGCATGTGTTTTTAGCTGTTTACAGGCACAGGGAGACATACATACACACTCATGCACATATATGACATGTGTGTAGGATCACAGGACAACCTTGGGTGTCATCATCAGGACCATCCTGCAGCTCCTCTGAGACAGGCCCCCTCATTGGCCTGGAGCTCACCAAGTAGGCTAGTCTGGCTGGCAGCAAGCCCTAGAGATCCTCCCGCCTCTGCCTCTCCAGGACTAGAATTACAAGGCTTCTGGGAACTAAACTCGAGTTGTGGTCTTCTGACTGGCCCATCACCCAACCCAGGCATATAGGATTTGTGGTGACTTAAGCCAAGTGGTCTAAGCCGCATAAAACTAAACTAAACAAACAAACAAAAACCTTAAAAAGTTAAGATGTTCTATTTGATACATAACAATTAAAACTGATCTAAACTGTCAAAAAGCCTTCACTGTGCCTAACTGAGGATATGAGAATGGAGTGGGAGGAAGAGAATGGGGTCAATACTAACAAAATATAAGTCATGGTTAAAAACTCAAAATGTGTTTACCTTTTCATTCTGAAACAGACACAAAAGTTCTTGGATATAGGCCTCTTTTTCAAGTACCTTCTTCTTAAGAGTCTTCAGGAAAGACATTAGAAATTAGAATTAGAAAACTCAGAATGTGGATGATACTGGCTGAAACCAAGCAGCATACAAAGAAGCAAAAACTGTCCCCATGAATGGCTGTCAGGTGGACAAACACTTACACTATTGTCACTCTCATTGTCACTGAGGTCCTTCAACAAGCTGGGTGAGTTCTCTCCTGTCTGTGAGGGAAAGACACGAAACATCAATGTCTAGAACCACACTTCTCTGTTTTAAAAATGACTATTGTCTGTCAAGTTTGGGAGTTCATTTTCTACTGATTTCAACTCTGCAAGAAGTATAGCTTGCAAATATTTTCTCCTATTCTGTAGACTGTCCCTATGCTGTTACCTTACTTTATACAGAAGTTTTTTAGTTTGATGTCCTAATTCCACTATATCATATATTCATTCTCTTCCCTCCCCTCATTGAGGAGTGAACCCAGGGCATCGTATATGATAGTTACGCAGTTTGCCACCGACTTGCATCCCTAGCCCTTAAATTATTAACTATTTCTGGAAACTAATAGTAAGGAATCTCAACTTGATTCTGTGGATAGTTATAGAGCCCAAAGATGAATTTTGTGGAAATTGAAATACATACACTTCTGAAATGGTGTGTGCAATCCTGCACTGTGTGTGTGTGCAATCTTGCACTGTGTGTGTGCAATCCTGCACTGTGTATGTGTGCAATCCTGCACTGTGTTTATGTGCAATCCTGCACTGTGTGTATGTGTGCAATCCTGCACTGTGTGTATGTACAATCCTGCACTGTGTGCATGTGTGCAATCCTGCACTGTGTGTATGTGCAATCCTGCACTGTGTGTATGTGCAATCCTGCACTGTGTATGTGTGCAATCCTGCACTGTGTATGTGTGCAATCCTGCCCTGTGTATGTGTGCAATCCTGCACTGTGTGCATGTGCAATCCTGCACTGTGTGTATGTGCAATCCTGCACTGTGTGTATGTGCAATCCTGCACTGTGTGTATGTGTGCAATCTTGCACTGTGTGTGTGCAATCCTGCACTGTGTATGTGTGTAATCCTGCACTGTGTGTATGTGCAATCCTGCACTGTGTGTATGTGCAATCCTGCACTGTGTATGTGTGCAATCCTGCACTGTGTATGTGTGCAATCCTGCCCTGTGTATGTGTGCAATCCTGCACTGTGTGCATGTGCAATCCTGCACTGTGTGTATGTGCAATCCTGCACTGTGTGTATGTGCAATCCTGCACTGTGTGTATGTGTGCAATCTTGCACTGTGTGTGTGCAATCCTGTACTGTGTATGTGTGTAATCCTGCACTGTGTGTATGTGTAATCCTGCACTGTGTGTATGTGCAATCCTGCACTGTGTGTATGTGCAATTCTGCACTGTGTGTGTGCAATCCTGTACTGTGTATGTGTGTAATCCTGCACTGTGTGTGTGTATGTGCAATCCTGCACTGTGTGTATGTGTACGTGCTTTGGATAGAAAGAATAAAACATAACACAGTCATTCCTTAAAAGAAGACCAACACGGACAGCTGCTATGCACAGTGCAGATTCTATTGGTTAAAATTTCTGCCTGAGTGCTCAAAATTATTTTTCACATAATTTCTGATCAGTTACTTTGCTAAATTAATCTCAAAAGAATGCCTCAGAAAGTATAGGTTAGTGATATACAAATCTCTCTCTCTCTCTCTCTCTCTCTCTCTCTCTCTCTGTGTGTGTGTCACACACACACACACACACACACACACACACACACACACACACACACACACACCTACTTTCTAAAGACTCTCAGAATACTGTTTAGAAAGAGGCATTATGGTTGGGGATTTAGCTCAGTGTAGAGTGCTTGTCTAGCAAGCACAAGGCCCTGGGTTCGGTCCTCAGCTCCGGGAAAGATAAAAAAAGAAAAAGGCATTATAACTCTAAATTCTAGCAGTGAGAAGGGAAACAGGATATGATAATAGGGGACTGAATGATCAAAATGCATTATACACATTTTTGAAATGTCATAAAGACTATTTAGTACAATTAAGAAATGCTAACAGAACAAAGATAAAAAATAAAATAAGTTGAGTAAGATACTAAATTCTTTTAAATCATCAATACATATAAATAGACATTTCTCAAAAAGACACAGATGGTTAATAGGTGCAGGGCAGTGCTCAGTGTTACTGATCATCAGACGAAAGCAAATCAAAACCAGTCTGAGTATGAAAAGGTTATGAAAAGATGAGAAATAAAATGCTGGCAGGGATATGGAGGATAGGGAACTCATACATGTTGTTTGGTGAGAATATAAATTGGTTTAGACAACTTAAGTGTCTATCAGTTGGTGGATGGATAGCACATATAGGTGTCAATACATAATGGAATACTGTTCAGCCATTTAAAAAATAATCCTATCATTTGTTTTACTATGGATACAAGTGAAATCATGTTAAGTAAAATACAACAAACACAAAAAGACAAGATCATGTCACTCATATGTGGAATGTAAAAGTTGAATTTATAGAAATTGAGAGTAAAAAGGTGGTTACCATATGTCAGAGTAGCCGGGGAGGAGGAAGGGGAACAGTGGGAACAGTTAATCAACGGGAACTAAGGTGTAGGAAGGAGACAGACGTGCGGGTGTGCTATTTCACACTAGGGTGAAACAAAAAGACCACATATAGGACCTTTTATCAGGGGAGGGGGTACCTAATGATACACAGGAGAGCTTAAACTATAAGAATTTTAGACTTTGCAAGTAGAAGTTCAATCATTATATTTCAAAGAAAAATTCAAAGAATTACTTCTATTTCAATATACCAATATTTTAAGATTCACAGTTAGAGAACTAAAATATCCTCCAAGTAGGAGGCATCACTACCGTGGAAACACTCAGCACAGGAGCCTTACTTGTTTGTAGTGTGTCTGTTTAATAAGTTGTTCTAAGGCTAATTTCACACGGTTAAAAGTGTCTAATTCTTTTGATAATATTTCCTTCTGTTCAAAAATCCTCTTCAAATTGGATGCAGAAAGATTAACCTGACAAAATAAAAGAAGCCCACATATACATGTTAAGACAACATTAAGTAAAACACATTAGAATGATATCATCAATGAGGAACTGTTTCCTAGTATCAATCAAAATCATTATTCTGCATGTAGTATTGGTGAGCCCTGGCAAGTTTACCCATAGTAGTCAGAATGCACTACATGGTACATTAAAATAAAGTAAGTTGTAGAACTCCACAGCTTTGCAGTATTGGTTCCACTAAACCACAGAGGACAATCTATTCTTGTCCCAAAGTGAAGTTTAGTTGAAAGTGTAAAGTCATCTTCTGTTCCAAATGACATCACAGAAAACAGGTAAACAGCATCTCTCTGAGTTTTATTTTTTAAAGATCTATTTTTGTTTGATGTGAGTGAGTGTTTTGCCTGCATGTTTGTCTGTGCATCATGTATGCCTGGTGCCCATGGGGACCAGAAGAGGGCATCAGATCTGCTGCAGCTGGAGTTAGGGATGGTCCTCTGGAAGAGCAGACAGTGCTGCTAAACACTGAGCCATCTCTCCACCCGACACTTTTAGTTTTAAATGAACTCTTCAGAAAATCTCATTCTCTAGCTCAAGGCCAGGTAAGTCACACATCAACCTGTAGTATCTAGCTTAGTTTCTTCCTAGGTGCATGCCTGAGAGATGTCTGCCTTTTAAGAAAAGAATAGAGTTAACAACAGGAATAAAGAATGCTGTCCTGTCTCCCCCCACCCCCGCATTTTTGGTATCATGTACCCATATGTGGGCATTCCTGTTAAGATTTGAGTCCTTAGTCAGATCATCTGAATATGATGCTCACTTTCCATCTCACTAGCCAGTCTAAGTCCAACACTCACGTTTTCTAAACTAATTCCTTCCACGGTGTTCTTAAATAACGGCAAAAGTAATTCTACTGAACAGGATGCCGACTCAGCTTCCTTAAGTGCTGCCTCCAACTCCTTTTCATTTAAGATGTCTTGCTTGCGGCTAATAACAGAAAAATAAACCTTCAGTTACATCTAACACACAAACTGGAGACTTTTTCATGTAAGACAAGAACAGACAAGCCTGCCTCCAGACTGACATGGGTTTGATTTACAGATGTCCCTAGGGGAAGCTTGATCACCAGGACTATAGGCATCCAGGCCAACATGGGCTGAAAAGAGGCAAAAAGAGGTGGACCTGGAGTACAGAGAAGAGAATAACTCATCTTATTTACATTCTGCTATATGGAATCATAAGTTATGTGCATTTAAAATTTATCTATAGGGCAGTTAAGAGCATTGGTGCTCTTTCAGAGGACGCCGGTTCTATTCTCAGCACCCACATGGTGGCTCACAACTATCTGTAACTCCCTCTTTGAGCCTCCACGGGCACCAAGTATGAATGTGATGTACACACATATATGGAGGCAAAATTCTCATATATATAAAATAAATATATCTTTAAATTTTTAATGAATAAAAATCTATGTATAACTAACTTCAAAGAAGCTTTTCCAATAATTATAAACAAAACAGCAAGTTCTGTGAGAGCATCATGCCCTTCATTACTCAGCACTGTTTTTTCCTTTACAGAATATCTTATAAAAATTCATTCAGAGCTGATAATAGGGCAAGAAAGACAGCTCAACAGGGCAAGGTACTGTGAAGCTGCGAAGCCTGGAGGTCTGTTCAGACCCTGGAACTCATGGTGGGAGAGCAGAACAGACTCTGAAAACTGTCCTCTGATCTACACAGCACAAATCACACACACACACACACACACACACACACACACACACACACACACACACGTAAATAGAATTATTGGCATCTTACATATACTTCAAGTAGAATATTTTATTCTTAAGTACCACTGGCTTAAAGTAAAAAGCTTATGATAAATAACTGCCATTCATTCAAAATCATGGTCAGAAAACCAACAATTATATTTGATGAAACACCATTTTCCACTTTCCTCCAGATAAACTAGAAACTAGGCTATACTACCTGTAATGGCAATATGACATTTTAAGATTACTATTACTATATTAATTCACACAAATATAACAAGTAAATTTCCAATTCAACAAAGCAAAATATGATAATTGTTATATAATAATACACCAAGCATTAATATTCACTTTACAAGTTATTAATAGGTTGGGTTGGCTTTTCTATTCCTTTCATTAAATGAAAACTTAAACCACACACCTAATCCAAGAGTAAGAAAGGCTGACACAAGAAGCCGAGAGTTCAGTGACAGCATGGGCTGCAGCGAGGCCTTGTCTCAAAAAGTAAAGCAAACAAACGATAAAAAGACTGACAACCTCTAAACTGCTAAGGAAGTATTTTTATAATCAGATTACCTAGGTATATTTTAATGAATGAATACTAAATGTGCAAAGGATATTCTTGAATGATTAGTGCACTTGATTTGGAAGTTAGAAAATGAGATCTGCTCTGCCAATAACAAGGATACCTGCTGAGGTGATTCTCACTGGCACACTGTGGGACAGGTCCTCTCTCCTGTGTGAGACATGAAAAGAGTCCCCTGGGATGAGTTTCATCGCTAGTAGGTGTCTCCATCAACTCAGTAACTCTCTTTTATAAGGTGCTTCGGCAACAACTTTTCCACAGATGCTGAAAGCTAGGGAACATATGTTATTAAACTTATCATTTCAGTAGATTATTTTCCTGTTGTTACCTTGTGATATAAAGACCCCAATTATATACAAAACATTTCAAAGACAATATCAAAATTTTAACTGCTACCTGGGCATGGCTTAGCATGGCTTTAATCTTAGCACTTGAGAGGCAGAAGCAAGTAGATCTCTGTGAGTTTAAGACCAGTCTGGTTTACCCAACAAGTTCTAAGCCAGTTGGGGCTACATAGTGAGACCTCGTCTTAAAATATATATAGAGAGAGATGCTACTCACTATTCTAGTGACTCAAAATAGTATCAAAATTGCACTGCATAGTAATTTATCTATTTCAACTTTCCATACACACTTTAAAAAGGTTTGCTATTATTACTATATATGGGTACAAAAATCTTCTTTAAAATCATTTTTAATTATGCGTCTGTGAGTGGGTATGTGCATATGAGTCCTAGGGGTTGGAGACATAGAGATCAGGGTCCCCTGACTTGGAGTTACACAGCAGTTGTGAGCAACCTTGCACGGGTTTTGGAACTAAACATGGGTCCCCTGCAAGGACAGTAAGCTCTTTACCACTGAGCAATCTCTCCAGCCCCAAGTGTACATATCTTTACTGATCTGTTTCTTGAAGTATTATAGTAATCCTTCAATAATGACCCATAGGACTAGATAACAAATGTGCAAATTGAGGGTTTTGTATTAGTTCCATCAGGCCTAAGCAACAAGACGCTGTTGTACACTTAGAATTCTACAAACTCAACGCACCTTTGAATGTGTTTTGCAACAACAGCTGCAGAGCAGGTAAGGCATTATTTTGAAAGTAGTCCTTTGTGGTGTATTTCTTTATTCCCATTCCCAGCTTGGTCTAGACTACCCTTCGCTGATAATAATAATTAAAAGTACTTCTGAACATGAGCAAGAATCTTTTCATTTAGCCCTGAAGATGTCAATTTAAAAATGTGACTCTTCATACATGAATTCCTCCAAAATGGCCCCATTTAAAGAGATGAATTAACACATCAGCAACAAGAGGCTAAGTTTTCATAACTAAATAGAAATGTTCATGTGTCTCTTTTGTTGTTGTTCATGCAAGATCAAAGGTCACATTTAAGGTTTTCTACATTGCTTTCAAATATTTATGATTTAGATTTCCATATTAAAATACATTATGCTCAAGAACTTTTCTATAGTTTAGGTACATGTTGAAATGATAGGTTGAAACTATTCACAATATTTAATTAGCAATTCAGAAACCTCCCAGGACACCTGCAAAAACTACATTAAATTTTGTCTGATGTTTCTATACACAATACAGAGACAAATATTTAGTAGCTAAAATTCAAAAGGAACAGTAGTCCAGAGAGCCTGCACCACTCTCCCTGGATCTCTGGCTGCTGAGTTGTGCAACATCTGTCACTACAACATCCCACTGCAGAGAAGACACGGGGATATTTACAGTCCAGAAGAAGCGCAAATACACAGATCACATGAAAAGCCAACACAGGCTAATGAGGAATGTGCTCTGGGAAGTCACAGCAAAGACATCTGTGATCTGTTTGGTTTGTAACTGTCACAGCCTTTCGATGGGGAATTAGCATTTATCTTTTACTCATTCATGTGTTCAAATATTTATCTCTCCACAGGCTGGAATCTCAAGAAAAAATGTCCTGTTTATAGTTGAATCCTAAATGCCTACAAGCCTTGGAGTACTAAGTAATGCCTGGAAAGTATGAAAGACTTGGTACTCTCAATGAACATGATAGGCTACTGCTTTTCACTTATCTGTCCCTTGACCGACTTTTCTGAGGGATTAAAAGAAAAATGGTTTCTATATTTAGAAGTAAAACTTAAAACCAGAATGAAAGGATAGGGATCTTCCATTCTTAGGAAATACTTGATAAAATGAGAACCACTTTGGTGGTATCAGTATTTTAAGTGAGTTGTCATGTAGCTTTCTGGGCTATTGGTGAGTGTACATAAGACAAATTATAAAGCAAAAACTTTGTGCTTCATCAACTACAATTATTAACTACATCTTAAATGATAAATAAATAAAGCTAATGTGTGGTAAAAATGGGGATCTGTGATGGTTAATTTTAATTATCATCTAGACACAATTCTATAGAAGTTTAAGTAAATACTTAAAGTTCAGTAGTCTTAAGTTTTTTAAATTGTCAAGGGTATTCATGGAGCTGCTGATGTAGCTATAACCACAGAACTATGTTCCATTTTGATCAACAAGTGTGTTGAGGGATGGATGCTTGGGGACAATGATTTTAAAAAATAAAGATCATGGCACCTGGACCATTCAGGAAATGTTTTTTTAAAAATCAGTCTCCCTGGAGAGGAACCATAGAATTCCACAGGCTTTTATTTGTTTTGCTAAACATGAATCCCTGAAAAACAAAATTCATTGACCTCAAACAATAGCATCCAGATTCTACTTAAAAAAAAAATTAAAAAATCTTCCATGAAATACTCAGCAAGGAACACAAAGTACATGTAGGAATGATGCCTTCTGACTCTCAGTATTCTGGAAACTAGTCAAAACTTATCAAAGAAATAGTTGAATATCGTTTGACTCCATTGTGGAAAAAAATATATTTGTGAAACGTTGAAAAGGGTAAGTAAAAATGAGCAAAGTAGGAAAATAGATTTCTAAATAAACGTATCAAAATGATGGGGGTGGGAGTGAGAGGTGGGATGACATTTATGATTCAGAGAAGCTAACTTGAATAAGAATCTGTGGCTTCTGGTGAGCTGGGGCTGAAGAGTCAGCTGTGACTAGCTGGAGACCAGAACCACTGAAATAAAACCTGTGTTTTATGGGGACAATGGATGCTGGTCAGCTGAGGCTGAAAAAATAGCTGTGATTAAGAAGAGACCACAGCTGCTGATGTGGAATTGTCGAGGGGGACCAAGACTACATCTTAAGCTGGCAGATGAACTTAGTAATTTGTTAGAGTTTTCCTTTTTGAAGGAGTAAAGGGGTCAATCTTGGCACCATGTACCAGGATTGGAGTCCCTGAAGAGAGGCCAGGAGGCCACTGGTGACAGAGCAGCCTCAGTTGTAGTGGAGGCCCCAGAACTGAAGGGGCCACGAATAGAAACTGAAGCTTGGTATCATTAGTCAGGGTCAGAGTTCCTAAAGAAAGCCCAGGAGAAGTTACTGGAGAAAGTGCAGCCTCAGTCACACAGAGACACCAGGATTGAAAGACATGAAAAGAAACTGGTTAAAATGCAGCCTCAGATGCATTTGAGATCCCAGCATATTGAAGATGCTAGGACCATGGGATGACCACCAGGGACAGCAGTATGTGTGGTGTAGAGTTGACCCAAGATAAGCTTCCCATGGCAGAACTGGAGAGGTATGGCTATGCAAGCCCTTTGAAGCTCAGATCACAAATGAGTCCCAGATACCAGACACTGAGTACAATGAGTTATTTATACTGTTGGAGTTTGGTTTCTGATCTGATTGTTTCTGTGCTCTTGGAATAAGAAAGTATATAAATTGTTTGGATTTTAAAGTAACCTTGTATTTTAAAGTGTTTAGACTTTTAAAAACGATGGGGTTTTTAAATTATATTATGTTTTATATAGCAATGTTAACAAAATATCTTGGGGATAAACAAGAAAGGAATGGTTATGGCTTAATAGTAGTATGTCTGTGTGTCAAGTTGACAGGGTGTCAATTGTGTTGGTTAGTTTTTGTCAATTTCAAACAAATTAGTCACACAGAAGAGGGAATCTCAACTGAGGAACTATCGGCCTGGTCTTTGGGCATGTTTATGGGGCATTTTTTTTTATTATTATTAATGACTGAATTAGACACAACCAGCCTACTGTGAGCATTGCCACCCTCGGCAGGTGGTCCAGGTCGTATAGGAAAGAAAGCTAAACTAGCCAAGGAGAGCAAGGTATTAAATAACATCCCTCTGTGGTTTGTGCTTCAGTTTCTGCCTTGAATTTCTGCCTAGGCTTCCCTCAGTGATGGGCTGTAACCTGTAAGTAAAAATGAACCCTTTCCTCCCAAGTTGCTTTTGGTCAGTATTTTACGACAGCAACAAAGAAGTAAACTAGAACACAGAGCTAAAGATGAAATGTCTATATATTTTCTCAGAAAATATTTTAAAGAAATCAATTAAAAATTGCTTTCACGGTGATAAACACATGAACGTAACAAAAAAAATTAGAATGCTAGAACAGCAAACAAAGGAATTAGAATGCTAGAACAGCATGAGGAGAAGTTCAAGGAGAAGTGGCCATATATAAATATAACGCATCATTTGCCCGTGATGCTCTAATGAATCGCTCTACATGTAAGTTATTTTTTTAAACTGTCCCTTCAGGTACCAAAAATAATTTAGAAAACTCTTAAAAAATTTTTCTAATTCTTCTTCACTATCTAATCTGAGAACAAGTAGACTAAGCAAAACTTAACCATTCTTAGATGGCCAGAGACAGCACATCAAACTAAATGATTATGACCCATGAAATATCACTTCTTAATTCTTACTGGCCCCAGGACATGGAAAATCAATTAACCATTAGCCACACTGGGCCTTATTTTTCTCTTCTACAAGAACAGAATACAGACCACAGTCACAGTAACGTGCAGAGAAAAAAGTGGACTTCATCTTTCTTTTGCCCCTCACCCCCTAAACTTAGAACCCATTGGGCTCACTCTGCTGGGGCTTTCTCAGCAGTCTTCACATTTTCCCATTTTTTCCTTTTTAAGTAATTATCCTGAATTAACCAATCTATCCTTAAAATTACTTACAAGCTTCCTGAGTTGATCAGAACTGATTTTACAGAACAACCTTTAGGACATATTTATTCTTTGTGGAAATTTTAGAAGTCATTACCAAAGTAGTCATAAATTGAGAACTGCTACACTAGAGGATGGGGTGAGGGAGAGCAGCAGCTTCCAAGAGAATGCAGCCCAGCAGATGGTTATTTATTTTTATATTCATCTTTCTGTTGTGTGTACGGAATTAACAAAAGTGACTAATAAATAAACAAAGCTATTTGTTCAGATCTCGAGATGCTTGAAGAACAAAAACTAAACTATTAATACACAACAATTGTAGAATCAGCATATAACAGCAAATAATAACAGCAATATAATACCTAGCTATTAAAAATTACAAATATGGTAATTGTTTTACCATAAGCCAAAAGTATTTTAAAAGCAGACAGGATTTCTGCAGTTCGATCCTTTAACTACTTCGGACCCTCATCCCCTCAAACACTTGACACACTGTAAGGCCTAGGGGGACACAGAAACTTGGCCTTTTGGAACCCAACAGCAGCCACAGTTTGGTTGTGGATACTCAGTTGACCTCTGGTACTCAGTGCCACCTATATGGACTTGTGTTTAATATCATTTATTACAACTGTATTATTTATTCTCAGTTTGCAAGTATGGAAACGGAAGCCAAAAAAGTGATGTGCCCAAAACCACACAGATGGTTAAATGTCAGAGGTGGGACTGAAAGCACATTGGCTTCTACCACGTTCTACCATATGACAATCATGTTTTTCTTGGGGGGGGGGGGTCCTATAGGGCTGGAAGAAGGTATTATTTCCTGAGGGTACATGGGACATGACTCTGGGCATGTCAAGAACTGGGCTGCCGTGGTAGGCTCAAGATTAAGAAGACACTGTGTCAACACCCCCAAACCCGGACCCTCGCTCTGCACAGGCCCCCCACGAGCTAACCTCATCCCCCACCCCAAATCCACACCGCGGAAAGCCGCGGCAACCTGGCCGCCTTCCTCCGGATGAAAGCGGTGGGCTTGAGAACCAAGGACCCAATGTCCTGGCAGGGTGGGCATCAGAGGCCTCACTTCCGGGTCACCCTCCTACCCCACGCCCCGAGGTTCCTAGGGTCACCGGGGCCCGCGCTCAGAGCCCGCCCCCGAACGCGTCCACACGTCGCCGTGACGTCATCCGCCGCCGCCGCCGCCGCCACTACCTGCAATGGCCGGAGAGTCCTCTGAGATCCTGTCGGCCCTGGGTCGCCTCGGCAGACAGAGAGTGCAGAGGGAAGAGTAGAAGGCCGGAGGGAAGGACGGGGCGCGCGAGGCAAGAAGCCGATGAGTCACCAAAACAGGCAGCGGTGGCGACAGCGTCGCCACGGAAGAAGCAAACGTTGCTAGTAACCGTTGGCTTCTCTGGAAACGGACGCCCCGCCCCTCCGCCGGCCCGCTCCGACGTAGCTAATTGGCCAGGGCTCTGGGGCGCGGGCGCCCTTCCTGCTGTGATTGGCGGGAGCCAGAGGGCGTGGCCGGCGGGAGCTTTGTCGACTTTGGTTTCTCTGGTGTTGAGCTTGAGTATAGCTTTTGTGTGCAGTTACCGGAAAATCTCAACCGCTGTCATCCTGGCGGGAAAGAAAGGTCCATTCCGAGCCTCCTGACACTGGATCGAAAAAATACCCTCTCTGCTTTTGCGGGAGGAATTTGAAAAAAGCCAAGATAATATGACTAAAAAAAACCCTTATTTCCGGTGTATGGCATTATCCCTGACCGTTCCCTGGGCGTCAGGGGTTTCCTGATAGAGTCAGCATGTTCTCCAAAATACTTTTCAGGTCCCAAATACTTCATATAATAAAGCTGCTACGCGTTCTAGACTGCTGAACCAGCAAAACAAGATCTTAGTGAAGAAAAAGGAGGACCTGATGGTGCATTTTTACAAAACAAGATTTCATTTTCTTGTCATTGTTTTGGTGGTTTAGGACAAGGTTTTGTGTGGTTCAGGCTAGCTTCATACTGTTTATGCAGTCTAGGTTGACTTTGAAACCCAGATCTTTAGGCCTCCTGAGATTGTAAGCATGAGATTGCCAAACAAGTAGAAAATTTTATGCTCTATTACTATTCAACTGAAACAAACAAAACAAATCAAACAAACGGAAAACTAACTCTTTAGTCCATCACAAGACCTCAGTTTCTCTAAACATTGTTCAACACGCTTGGCTATAAGATTACAATTCAAGGATTTGCACATAATGAAGATGTGAGGCTAGCATACTTTTTCCTTTCAAGATCCAATAGTAATATTTTAGCTTTTACATATCATATTGTCCCTGTTATAGTATTTAATTCCACATTGTTGCACAAAAGAAGTCATGGAGAAATAGAGAACACATAAAGATAAGAATACAGCTGTGCTTCCATCAAATTTTATCAATAAAAGTAAGTAGTAGGCTGGATTTGACCAACAGGTTATGGTATGTAGACTGCTGATATAAAACTTAAGCTAAACAAGTGTCTAGTATGTGTTGAACTCATTGGCCATGCGTGTGAATATAGGCAACAGCAGTACATCCCATTGGCTATTTCCCTCATGGACAGATATGTAAGAGCAACAAATAGGTTCAAGATACTTGATGAGTGCACATCATATTTTGGCAAAATAAAAAAGACAGTTTAAAGGACAGCTTGGTGGTGACATAAATTTTCTCCGAAAATGGTTTTCAAGTAATTCCCTTAATCCCTAAACACACAAAAATGGAACCTATTTGCCTTATTTGGAAATTTACTAGGAGAATGTGGCATTAAGAGGTCTTGCAAGTTATTTTTTTTACTCTTAGAAATCAGTTAGCAGCGATATATATATATATATATATATATATATATATATATATATATAAAATTATCCTATAGAAAAGCAAAATCTGGCCAAATTCTCACTATCTTAGTCACTACAATAAGGTGCCAGACATGTGAATTCCAGCATTTTAAGGTCCTGTCTTGGGTCCAGATAAGTGCACAGTATGAGGGACCCTAGTCAGCAAGAGTACCTAGAGGAAAGCAAGGTGAAAGGACTTTGGTTTTGAGGTGATAACACAATATATCTCAGACCACTTAGCCCTGGAAAATTCACCAAAGTAACAGGGTTTTGGATTTTCATAGAGTTCTCACAGAACAGATCTGCATCACGGCTACTTGATAGAGTGGAGTGTTAGTAGGTATTCAGCCAAGCATAACAAAATAGCAGACTGTTTAAACAACAGAAACTTGTTTACCACATTTCTGGAATCTCAGAAGTCCAAAATCAAGAATCAACCAATTTGGCTGCTGATGAGATGTCTGTTTCTGGTGCTTGCGGATGGATGGATGCCTTCTTGTTTTATTCTCACTTGTACTGAAAGAAGTAGCAAAATGTCACCTATCTTCTCTAAGGGCACCAGGCTCCTCATAAGGACACTACACCTGTAATCTAATCAATCCCCAAAGGCCCCATCTCTAAGTGCCAACACATTGAGGGGTAGTGGGGAGGAAGGAACAAAACTCTTTCCACAGCATTGGGGTGCTTGCTACTGCTTGTTGAAGAGTGGCCCTTCATTGAAGGCAGTTCTGCCCGTGCTGGTTTACGTGTGGGAAACAATGATTTTATTATTTTCCCACTGTCATTTCTCAGCATGTAAGTGTCAAATGAGTGTATCTTTGGATTGGATTGCTAGACAAGTATGTGTGTCCATCTCAATATGCAAATTTGGTTTCACCTTTAATAAGAAATACAATTATGTGTCTACAAAAGAATTGGTCTAAAATAAATTTCTTTATGATGTCATCAGTAAATGTTGACTTGTATACCTCTGTTAGAGATCTAAGTAACCTGCACCATGGAGGACTTTCTCAGTTTGCCTGAGGCTGTAAATTCAAGATCTAAGAAGCTATTCTAGCTCTCTCTGTTTCAGGATAAACCACCCTGACCAAAGAGCAGCTTAGGAGAGACAATATTTTTAGTATACAGCTCCAGGTTACAGCCCATCACTGGGAACACAGTAGTGCTGGTGGAGGCAGAGGACAGGCTGCAGGAATGGGTTGTCACCTTGCACTTTGCTAAAGCAGGGCCTCTCTTGCTGCTTCCATTGCCCAGCATACTCCACTCTAACTGGCTTTTGCAATAGGTGGGTTTCTTGTGTTCACTTGTCATCTCCCCAGCCCAATCCTGTTAAAATCTAATAAAGGGGACAATTAAATCAGTCTGTGATAAAGTGAAAGGACCAAGCAGATGCCATTAACAGGCTGCTCAGTCTTGTCTCAGGCTTCAGTTTCAGTTTCTGGGAGGGCCATGAACAAAAGACAATCACTGATGCACCTGTCAGCAGGGACAGGGAGATAGGACACACTGAGCCTGGGCCACTGAGCCAATGCCCACAGTCAGTACCTGTCCAGGCCTGCCCAAAAATGGATAACTGTAACCCCCAACTAACCCTAGTCAATTAAAAGTTACTAACATGATTGCCACTCACATAAACCAATCCTGAATCTGTTCCTATGTTGTCTGTAGACCCCCAACCCCCCCCCTGCTTTAAAAACCCTGCCCCATTGCTAATCAGGGTCTCTCCTGCTCTGTTGCTGCATCAGACAGACGGAGAGGCCTGGGTTAACTCTCAACAGTAAAAAGACTGCTTTTCTGTCGGATTTGGTCTCTTGATGGTCTTTGGGGGACTCTGGGACAACAAAAGGATACATGCTGAGAAGTATTTTTAAAACTGTTTGGCTGACTGTTCACAAGAGTGGCTGGGTGGAATGAAATACTAAGAACAAAAATAGAGGAAAGAAAACAAATATGACCTGCTACTGCTTCTTGGTATGATTAGAGGCAGCAGGGAATCTGGTGAAGCCCTGGGATGTCAGGGATACATGAGGTCAGGGTCAGAGCAGAAAGAAAACTGAATTGGAGAGTAGAGAGAAACTTGCCTTTGTGTACTGCTTCCGAGTCCTTCTGGTTATTTTTCATCTCTTTTAAAAATCCCCTTATGTTTCTGCTTTATTTTTCACCTTTGAAAAATATCTATAGTAATAATAACAACATCTGATATCCAAAACATAATGTTATATTCTACCAGGTTCAAACAGATGTAGCAGTATTTAATAGAATGTAATTTTATGCCTGATTTTCAAATGAGTACTATTTAATACCATTTCTCCAATTCTCTGTATTAAATTATTAATAATAATTCTTATAAGCTACTCATTTTGACAAAAATAATCTCTCTCTCTCTCTCTCTCTCTCTCTCATGTGTTGATAAGTTATTTCCACAGTGAAGTTAGCAAGAAATGTAGGGAAAATAATTCTTTTTTTTATTTAATTTTATTTTATTTTACAATATAATTTAATTCTACATACCAGCCATGGATTCCCTTGTTCTCCCTCCTCCTACCCCCCTCCCCTTCCCCCCAGGCCACCCCCTATTCCCATCTCCTCCAGGGCAAAGACTCCCCCGAGGATTGAGATCAACATGGTCGACTCAGTCCAGGCAGGTCCAGACCCCTCCTCCCAGGCTGGGCCAAGCGACCCTGCATAAGCCCCAGGTTTCAAACAGCCAACTCATGCAATGAGCACAGGACCCAGTCCTACTGCCTGGATGCCTCCCAAACAGATCAAGCCAATCACCTGTCTCACCTATTCAGAGGACCTGATCCAGTTGGGGGCCAATTGGCAAGAAAGAGGAGGGTTTATATGAGCGAGAATTGTTGAGACAAAGATTGGATAAAGCACAGGGACAAATAACCAAATGAATGGAAACACATGAACTATGAACCAATGGCTGAGGGAAAATAATTCTAAACAAGTGAATCTCTTCATTTGGATCCAAGCCTCAAGAGTTTTACTGGTGTGATCAGACTTCTATAGAGAATGAGTGCAGCCAACACTTCCTGCTATTCACACGACATGGTACATTCTACTGATTTTCACAGAATTATTCAGAGAACCCATCACTTCAGTCCTACTCTTGAACTCAAGATAGATCTCATTAAATGGCCCTTAGAAAATATAACTACCTATATTTGATTTTTAATTTAGTCAAAAGGGCAAGTCGTAACTTCCTGAGCCTTGTGAAGTAAGGTATGGGGAACTGTTTTGAAAACTGCAAAAGCAGGGCCAGTGAGATGGTTCAGTGGGCAAAGGCACTTGTCACCAAGCCTAAGGATCTGAGTCCAATCCCTGTGACCAACATGGTGGGATGAGAGGAGTGATTCCCACAGGCTGTCCTCCGACCTCCACATGCACACCACGCCACAGACACAGCCACACACACAACCTCACACACTAAGTAAATAAATGTAAGAAATTATTTTTAAACCTGCAAAACGCTACACAAACATATTGGTTCTAATCATTTCTGAAGCTCCAAGGTCTTTATTGTGGGAAACTCGTCACAGGATCCAAATTCAGTGCCTGCTTCTGCCCTGAAACGTGTCCCTGTCTTGTTCAGTTTGGGAATCTTCGTCACCAGATCCTCAGTAAGTAGCCTGTGAGAACCACTTGTTTTGCTGCTGGACTCATTTCTGCCCTTGCTTCATTTCACCCCATGTTCTCCATCACCACGGTTTGACAAAGTGAAGACTCAAGCACAGATGGGTTTCCACAGGTATATGGATCCACTGTATCCCCTGACTTTGAAAATGAAGATAAATTTAAGGAAAAAATCATCAGGAAGGCACAGAATTTCTTATCTGATCCCTTGGCAAAGTTTTACATTCTTAAGTTGATCATTTGTCTCATTTCTAACTTGATAAATTTTGTAAATGCTGCATGAGCTTTGTATCTCTGCCACAGAGACCTGTATTTTCTCCTCTTTTAAATGAGACAGTCAAAACCAAAGTGAAAAGAAAGGGTTCAAAGCTTTTGACTAAAGATTTCAGTTCTGCTCTCTTCTATGACATCTGTGAGATACTTCATTGGTTTGCCCATTGCTGTGCGCCAATAGTCTCCATGAAAAAGAAACACAAAGGTCCTCAAAGGCCAAGCAGCCAGCAGATCAGACAGTTTTGATTCTTGAGTTACTGAAATAGAATAACTTATTTTCTTGAAAGCAGATAAAAGCAGAGCAGAATGGTACAGTTCATGCAACACTGAAATGAGCCCTTGGAAATTGAATTCCCAGGGTTTTTTTTTTTTTTTCACTTCATCAGACATTATCAACTCTATGGACACAAAAAGATCACTTGTTCACTTAGAGTCACTTCATCAGAACAGAACACTGCTCAGGATTGATTTTTAATTACTTAGCCAAGTCACTTTCCCCAGGTTTTGTTTTTGTTTTTATCTCCTGTAGCATCAGCCAGGTGAAGGAGAAAGTAGTAAAAAGATCTCAGTACCTGGCCTGACCCCGTATGGATGCTGACAGCAAAGAGGGTTCCAGAGGGCAGATCCATGTTTCCAAAGCGGGTGTGATCCCAAGATACCTTCAGAAAATGCATGAGTGGCTGGGAATCTCGGGAACAGATGATACAAGTGGAATCTAGGACAGTGACCCGAGGGAAGATTTGGTCCAGAACCAAGGAGATAGAAAGTAGAGAGACAAGAATGGATGCCAAGCCTAAACTATCAGTGCAAGATAAGCAAAGCCCCAGAAGACCTGCTTGGGTTGAACAAGATAAAGTTGGACAAGACTATCCACCTAAGGTATTCTTTGCAAAGCTACCTGTATTCTGTATAGTGAATACCCTCCAAACTTGCATCCCGATACAGCCATTGTTAACTACCAACTAAAAGAGACTGAACATAGTCCCCAGTTGTTCTCTCATCCAGTGAGTAATTTTTATAAGTGATGTCAAGAAACACTTCTTATGAGTTATGGGTTTCATTTTTGTACATGTTGCTTTACTGCTGGGATTACTTTTTCTTAAAAGCACAAAAGACTGGCATAAAAAAATAAACTGGAAGGAAAGTTAAAATGAAGAGCTTTGTCCTGCTCACTGAGTCACCATCCCTGGTTGCCCTTGGGAGTTGCCACATAAGCCAGTGGAAAAAACCCACACTGTGAAGGAGCTTCAGAAGGCAAGGTGTGATGTGAGCTGCAGGTGAGCAAGTTTGGCAGCCACACAGTAAACCACATTCCATTCTCCAGCACACCCAAAGGAACACAGACTTAAGAGCTGTCTGTCAGGCAGGAATGAAAGGGAAAACTTTCCTGAACAGAAGGCACTTTTTCTAGGAAAGAGAGATGGGGGTGTGTGTTTTATATCTTCATGATCTAGCTCTTATTTTTCCTGAATGCATTTGTTTGTTCAACAAGTATTTATTCAGATTTGACAGAGCTAGGTGCTGGGAAAGTACCAAGCAAAAGTAAACATGTCCTTTATCTCATACAGCCACCACAGGAATCCATCAGTATGTGATGTAAATGGACTCAAGATACTCCATCAATGGAGAGTACAGATGTCTTCATAGCATGGAGATATTCAGGCAAGGTTTTTAGTCCATATCTGGAATTTGAAGGAAAAGCTAGTGAACAGTAAAAAAGGAGACTCTCAGGAAAAGGCCTTCAGGGAAGTATCCCCTCCCTATCTCCCAATGTTGCAACTTGCTCTTAGCTCTGAACCTTACTACTGGGCTCTCTGGCTGTGGCCCTACACTCCAGGGTGATTTCTCAGGAGATTCCCCCATCCCCATGCTCTCTATATCAACTACCATCTACTTATCCTTCCCAGCTCAACTTACACAGAGACTCTTTCCCTTTGTCCCCTCTTGAGCCATAGAGAGATGCTTCCCAATGTGTTGCACATGCCTCTGAGGCTTACCCTGCATAAGTTGACATCTGTCCTGCTAGGCTATGAGCTCCCTGGGGACAGGATCCAGCCTGGTTCTTTGAGATCCTAAGCATTTACCATAGTACATGAGTCTATGAGCAATAAGTATTAGTGAGAGAAAGAAAAAAAAAGAGTTATATGTCATGACAGCAGTAATAACAGTGATAGCTAATATTTAAATGTTACTTTCTGTACGTTAAGGACTGTTGTAAGCATTTAAACTCTTATCAACCAGCCTAAATGGTGGATGTCATTCTCTCTCTCTCTTTCTTACAGATGCTGTTTAAACTTTTGATCCCAATCTGTAAAATGCAGATGTTAATAATATTTATTTTTGAAAATGAGGATCCTAGAAAGTGTTATGGCTTGAATATGAAATCTCTCCCACTGGTTCATGTATTAAAGCCTTGGTCCCCTGCTGGTGGTACTATCTAGGAAAATTCTGGATACAGTGGGAAGTGAGGCCTACAAACTGAAGTCACACCTTTGAAGATTATGCTAGCTCCTCAGTCCCCACCTCTCTGCCTTCTGTCGGCTGGGAAACAAAGACGTTCCTGAATGGCATACTCTGCTACTGTGGTGCTCTTCCAAGCTCATGGGATCAAGAAAATGTGTACTAAAGTTTTAGATACCCACAAACTAAAATAAATATTTCCTCCTATAATTGTTTATGTCAGTCATTTTATCACAGAAACAGGATAAGTAACTAATACAGTAAGTCAAATGCATACATGGTACAAACTGGCTAAAGACAGCATGCTATCATGATGACGTGCAAGGCCAAAGACAGGAGCCCAAAGCCCTGGTTCATAAGACTCCAGTTTTTAGGGAAAGAAGAATGACAATAAACTTACCCTGAAGACGCCCATTAGAGCACAACACAGACTTAGTGCGACCTCCTCATCAACAGCAGTGGTAGGGTTTTTTTTAGCCTGACACCCTCCACACCCTAGCAGCCCTCAGAAATGGGTCACAATCAGGCAGAATGTACAAGTGACTGAAGGTCTTCTGATGTGCTCTCTGCAGAAACAAAGCTTTCCCTTGGTTTTGGAGAGGAGTCACAATAGCCATCGCTGTGTTTGGAGCTAGTCAGCAGGTCCAACCTTTTGACATTGACACAGATGTTACCATCTACATAGCTCCATAGGCCACAGGTTGGAACGCCTTTGATGGAAGGACGTTTTGTAAATATAATTTGATAACTAGGAGAAAACATGACATAGTGATAAACATCATAAGTTGAAGCCCCTCACTCTTAGTTTAGCACTATGCTACTACTACCAATTTTAGAGGGTTTTTAGGTTTTCTGAGCCTTAGCTTTGACACAGTTGCTGTAACAAAACATCATGACTAAGGCAACTTAAGGAAGAAAAGTTTCAAAAAATAAATAAAAAGGAAAAAAGTGTTCATTTGGCTTATGGTTCCAGAGGTACAAGAATACATTATAATGGTATGCCATGGCAGAGGGTAGCAGGCATGTCTGAAGGAATAACAAGTTGAGAGAGCTCCTCAACCATAAGCACAAAGTAGACCGAATGAACTGTAAATGGCATGGGGCTTTAAACTCTCAAAGCCTACCTCCAGAGAAAGGCTGTACCTCCCAAGCTTCCCCAAACAGGGCCACCAGCTTGAGGACAAGTATTTAAATACCTGAGTCTATGGGGGGGGGACATTTCTTATTCAGCCACCACAATCACTCATGAGCTAGGGATAATACAACCCACCATTCAATAAAAGCATGTTTTCCTTCTCCCACTGGCTAATTATCAGAATTTGAAAAGCAGGAGTAAAAATGATGTCTGCATCAAGGGAATGACATTTAAAAGGGTTCAATTGCAAATTCCCCAGCATTGTGCTGTCGTCAGAGATCATAAACAAGGCATAAAATATTTGGGAAGCCTGCTACTTCATCCTGCGATGTTACAGGAGATACAGGTTGACTGAATCAAGTCCTTATCCCCAAGGGAGCCCTGCTGAGAAAGAAATCCATTCTTCTCCCTGGCACCAGGAGAAAGGGCACTGGAGCCAGGGGAAAGGCCTTGGCCTGCACAGCATCAAAATTCCTGGCACTTTGCCCTCCCTTGGGGGGTATCTGGTCTCTTAACCCCAGCCATCAGAGCTTGCCCGGACCTCCTGGCCCAGGGCTCTAGGGACAGGCATATGGGAAGATTTCCAAATCTTCAAAATAAGCAAGCAAGGGAATCTCACAATGGGCACAGTGTCCTGAGTGCAGAAGGGAAGTATGCTGATGGAGGAAGTGACCAAGGACTCGGGAAGGAAAATCACTGACATCCCTGGGTGGACTGTGGCAGACTGAATTCAGTGCTCTGATTGCCATGCAACCAGGCCATTGCTCTTAAGCTCCTTCTTGCCCCGTTTCCCTTTTCCTTCTGAGGAGATATGAAGTCAGTAAGCGGTGGAAGGTTTCTTTCCCAACTATGATTCAGGAAGAAGCTTAGCCACGGAACAGGTGAGTACTACTGCCTTACAGAAGAACTTGTAGAGACATGCCCCAGACAGATCCACCCCGGAGTTTTCAAAGAAGGCAACTCCTTCAGCATGTATTGTAAGGCCTTTCAAGTTCAGGGAGAAGCCATCTGCTTCCACATTGACCACCTGACTCAAGGTACCCAGCAGGCCTATACGAGAGGCTTCACTACAACATGACCCACAGGGGTAACACAGGACCTGTCCACAGGCTGAAACTTGTGACTCTTCTGTTCGCCCTAAGTCCAGAACTTCTTTTCCTGGGAGCAGGAGTGAAGCTTCAAGACAATGGGTACGATGGATTGCTTGTTGCGATTAACCCTCAGGTACCCGAGAATCTGAACCTGATTACAAACATTAAGGTGAGTGGCAGCTATGCGGTTGATACCATTAGCCCATTAGTTCAGACCTCTTACCGTTTTCAGGAAGTTAATTCCACCAGGTTTGGGCTTGAACAGTACAGAGACCAGTATTTCTTAAAGACAAAGCTGATAACAGGATGTGTGCACTCTGGCTAGATCACCCAGTTGTGTGTAGTCCCCACTCATAGAGATTTCTTTTATCTTTTTATTAGTCTCCATCTGTTGGCTTCAGGGTTTGGTCATAGTTTTCATATGTGACTGTTCTCTGGAGAATAGCTTAGAGAAATTAAAGCTGGCTTTGGTGAAAGAAAGCCGGATGTTTGAATGACAGAGGAGGATGGGAGTGCGTGTCAAGATCGTGCTATGGTGTCTCATTTCAAGAATGAGAATTCTCAAGGGAGAAAGTCTATGTAGGCTGCCAGAGAGAAATATTCTTTATTTTCTCCCAATGTTCTATAAAATAAATGACAGTTTTTTACTACAGCATGGTATGGGAGGATCATTACCTAAGAGCTTCTTTGTTAGGTATTGCTTAAAGTGAAAATAATATCCTTAAAAGGTGCAGGCCTGAACATGCCCATAGGTGTGACATAAAGATGTGTTCAGTAAAAGCTTAAAACCCTTTCAGAAACTTGGGGAAATCATGAGGGCAAGCTCCAACACATAATCAGTGTACTAAAAATCTCTTTCAGGTAGCCATTTGATGTCTTTTCCAAGGAAACCTTCATGGGTTTATTCAAAATGAATGTTTTTCATTGTTGTTTATGTGTCATCAGAGAAACAAGGATTTACACGTGGCAGTGTTCCTTCTGTTTGGTTACAGGAGATGATAACTGAAGCTTCCTTTTACCTGTTCAATGCTACCAAGAGAAGAGTGTTTTTCAGAAATATACAGATTTTAATACCTACCACTTGGACAGCTCATAATTATAGCAAAGTAAAACAAGAATCCTATGAAAAGGTAAGGATTTTGGATTCTCTTAAAAGAGCCTAATTCAATTTAAGGATGAAAAACTTTCAAAATATACTTTGTCGTTGGTAGTGAGACAGAGATATCCTACTGCAAAGAGTATTGCTGAGAAAGTGTGTGGACCTTATCCCATAGGCCTTTATAAATGGTTATGAGAAAGAAAAAATGGAAACACAATAATAAGTGTAAATTATTCAGTCACAAACTCAGTCATGTGCCATTGATGAATCTGCTTCTCAGGTCATCTCTATTATGTCATGCACAAGATCCTGGCTCAGTTTTTAGTCAAGGAAAAAGTTGGGTTTATGCTGCTGAAGGCGAGCAGGGACCAGCACAACCCAACTCTGGTGGTCCTCACTTGTCATTGTGCTGGGAACCGTCAAGTCCATGCGGAGAGCCATCCATGCATGTAAAGATGCAACTGTGGTCAAAATGAGCATGTTTTGCCTTTAACTAAGGCCTACATGCTGATTCAAAGAAGAATGGAAAGAAGCGAGCCAAAAGGCTGTGATAAAGAGAACGTGGCTCCATTTTCTTTTCTAACAACAGAATAACTTAACCTTGAAGAACATTAATAAACTGCAGATGATATGTAAATATGCATTGGTATGCACCTATGAAATGCTAAAGCACTTTGAAAATTACTGTGAATAAGCGTCCTGCGTGTATGTGAGAAGAGCTAGCAGCGGAGCACGGACAGGAGCTCGGGGCTTCAGCAATGGAGGGGCTTGGTGTCTATAGCTACAGTGCCATCAGGAGAGCTAGGGCATGGAAAACGTGTCTTCTATTTTAGTCTGTGTCACTTGGTTTAAATTCCTCCGATTGTTTTAATTCTTAGCTCTCCCTTGAAGACTGTCTCAGAAATTGAATGGCCTAGAAATGTAGAATGCAGCCCAAAGGCATGAAGATGCTGAAAGGCTTACAAAAGCATTTGATTTTCATCAGATAGAAGCATTTGACAGTGCTTGGCATGAAGATAAGTAGGGAACTGGAAAAAACTGGGGAAAATCTAGTGTTTATTAAGCTGCCATTAAGTACCAATTGAGGCATGTGTATATATATATATAACACCTATGCAATCTCATTAATTACTATTATAAAAAATTAATAATTATGTTCGCATAAGTTAAGGACTTTGTTCCATGCAAATAATTAATCATTACTGACAGTTTGAATATCTATTTAACTTCAAAATCCATACTGTTTGCACCAAGCTATGCAGTCTCTATAAAGATTATATTCATGAACTTGCCCTTCAGTACGACTGAGATACAACTGGGTACCCTGATCCTATGAGAGGTATAAGTATAGCATATGTAATATGATCAAATGTCCTGGATACAATTTTCCTTAACATCGTAATGTCAGTTAAGCAAACAATTAGTAAAGGATACTTCTCTATCTGATTGTGGAAATGAAACATGGGGATACAGTGTACAGAAGAGGCTCCACAAACAATGTCCTGCTGCCCACACTGATAGACTAACCATGGAGAGTTCACTGGAAAATGCTGTAACTCTTTACTGTGCAGTCCTAGATGATGTGTAAATACTAGTAAATGTTCTTGATTTTATGGCTTTTATAGTGTCATAATATCACAATTTTACAGTGTTGATGTCTGAGAATATTTTGTTCTGGAAAATGGGAGGGTAATAAAGGAGAGAAAGAAGTTCCATGGAAACTGGCTAAACTTTTAAAGGAGAGCTTTCTGAAAGTGCCAAAGAATTTAGCTAATAATTAGCTATCAGAATATCTACACTCTAACCTCGAGTCATTCCTTTTGCCTTTAATCTGTTTTAAAATTGTGTATAATTACATACAGTAAAATTATAGCTTAAATTTCTTTAAAATGTATTTGTCTTAATTTAGGCAAATGTCATAGTGACTGAGCAGAATGGGGTACATGGGGATGATCCATATACGCTACAACACAGAGGGTGTGGAAAAGAGGGGAAATACATCCATTTCACCCCTAACTTCCTGCTAAATGATGAGTTAGCAGCAGGATATGGCTCAAGAGGTAAGTTCCGATCATAAAAGCACAGCCTGTGACAGCACAATATTTTGTGTTTGGTACAGAAGAGATCTCATACAACCCTCAGCCTGTCAAGGACTTTCCGTTTCAGGGGAGGCAGACCAAAGGCACATGGAAGGAGAGGGTCAGAATGAGCCAGGAAGACCAAGAACCTGGTTAGATAGAGGAGCGCTCTGAGAACTCAGTGAAGGCAACCATGCCACGGGTTGTCGGGACATGCCTTACGAAGGAGGGGTTAACAGCATTTTGATTGGTGAAAAGAAGAGAGAGTAGCAGGAAGCATGTGAAAAGTGCTGAGGTGCAGAGGAGCTCAAGGCTTTTGAGGGAAGCATTAGACCCACTGACAGGGCACAGCCTGGGCATGCAGGGAAATGCCAACATGTACCCAACAACCAGGTGATGGCAGCGTTGTGGAATATCCACACTATGAAGTCCCCAATGAAGGCTCATCGTGTGTATGGGACCAACAGCACCACATCATTTTCAGAAGGTGGATCTGTCCGTGTGCATAATTGGGCTTGCTAGAGTCAGTGAAGGAGAAGCTGGATGTGGAAGGGTACAGGGTACTACAGCGGTGTGCTCAGGAGACTTGAGTTGAGGCAGTGAGGTAGAAAGGACGAGAGCCTGGAATACAAGCAACAAGGATTTCCCATGCCCAGATGCTCTGCCAATTTCATTTAAAATATTTTCTTGTGAAATCTGAGTGGCCTTAAGTGCTGAGAATTCCAGAAAGGAGTTCTGGCTGGCTGGCTGCAGAGTGGAAGGCCAGAGGTGTGCACAGACGACGTCAAGAACAAAGAAGGCATTGGGAAATGGGGGGGGCGCAGTGGAAAGGGGGAGCCATGGGTCTGGGTTAGGACAAGGAAGGCACTGGGAAATGGGGGGGGGCAGTGGAAAGGGGGAGCCATGGGTCTGGGTTAGGCAAGATGATGGTGAGGAGCAGTGGACTGTCCTACAGATGTCTAACTGTGGTCAGATATCAATGTCTGACACTTAGGAGAAAGATTACAGTCACCAGCCTGTAGACTGGTGGACCATGTGTGAGGTCTGAAGGAGACACTGGTGAGAACAGGTCAGGCAACCCAGTGCTAACTCCAATCTGCAATTTTAGTTTTGGTTCAATTTTAAATAGGGCCTTTAAAAGATTTTTATTTTTTTTTATGAAATCTAAAACTAAGTACATTTTGTTATTCCTGCTTAGCAAGCAGGAGGTAAAGCAATCTATCAGAATATTTTACAAAATTCTTAGAAATTAGATTTTTCCCCTCTCTGGTAACTAACCATGAGGTTGATGTTCTCTGGCCCTGCATACGACTTCATCAGTGTCTCCAGATTCATGAGTCAGCACATACTTTCCCTTATTGCTCTCAGCTGTGGTTGTTTCCTCCCAAGATGCAAACATTGCACAATGTGCCACAGCCTGGCTCAGTCAGCAGGCAGTCCCCGAGTTACAGAACCCGGAAAGCTTCCATGGAGAACAATTAACTGCTGAGCTGACCTTGGAAAGAAATCTAAGATTAGAGAGGACAAGATAAAACTGTGAAGGATTTGATGTTAAGAATGAGAATTTCCAAGAGAAAGGGTAAAGGAGAAAGGAGCATCCAGGCTGGAGCGCAGATGCTGTGATCTTTTCAGACTCTTCCTTCTTCCCTGGTTTCAGTCATTGATGTAGACTGGGGAACGGCCCACAGGAGAGCAACTAAACTTAGAAAAGTTATTTGATTGCAAAGATGTACTTCTTCTTCCCTCTAAGTCCTTAATCTACTGGGCTGCTTGCATGAAGCTAAGGAAAACCTGTTAGACAGCTTCAGGGGGAGGAGAATGTGGGACTCCTTGCCACTGCTGCCAGGTGGATGATGCCTCACAGGCCTGGGAGCAAACATTTTCGTGCTGCCTTTTCTATGATGGCAGAGGATGAGGTAGGAGAAGAGGGAGGAAAAGGACCAAAAATCTGACTTCAACTCTTTGGAACAAGAGTGTAGTCAGGTGATACTGCATCTACGTTGATTAGCAAGGCCCATTGCTGAGATTTTAGGCACTCAGAAAGCCAAAACTCTCTCTTCTACAGGAAGGGTGTTCGTCCATGAATGGGCCCATCTCCGCTGGGGTGTGTTTGATGAATATAACAACGACAAGCCATTCTACATGAATGGGCGGAATGAAATTCAAGTCACAAGGTCAGTGTTTTCTCTCATGTTTAAAATTCACTACTGATTGAGTACACTGAAAATTTCAAAAACTAGAAGGGCTTTAGAATAATTTTTACAGTAAGTGGCTGCACACTGACTGACATTTGCTGCTATAACCTCAGCACTAGAGAGACAGGGGCAGAATGTGTGCTACAAATTCAAGGTCAGCCTGGTCCACACTGTGGGGTCCAGGTCAGCCAGGGCTGCACAGCAAGACTTTGTCACAAAAGGCTAAAAAATAAAATGATAGATAAGAAAGTAAGCATTTTTATCTTGATTTAGCTATTATGTTACTTAAAAATAAGAGATAAAAATAAGTTAATGACAAGTAAATATTAGTAAGGAATAAATTCTTCTTGTTTTTCATCCTTACTTTTTATTAAATTTTAAAATGGGCAAATACTTATGTGATTCAAATATGAACAAGAAAAGTCGTGTTCCTCAGCATCTCACTGGCCACCATCTTCATTCTGCTTCCTCTGTAAACTATAAACAGTTACGTTCTTCACCATCGAACAACTGTCTTCTTTCTATTTCCAATAACAATATTGATTCAGTTCTTATTTATTTTGCCTCATCAAAAAAATTCAAATAAATATGAATATATTTTCCTCTCCCTTTTGAAAATAATTAGTGATCCATTGTGTGGTTATGCCATAACTTATTCAATCACTCCCCTCTTTTTGGACATAGAGATTAATAGCAACCTTTTGTGGTTGTCAATATCACTGTCACTCACAGCATCATACATGTGCTATTTCATATTTATGCATGAAAATTATATATCTAAAATGTCTTCCAAGAATTCTGGGTCAGAGAGCATCTTCAGCTGGTAGACATGCATCATCAGTATCACTTCTAAATGACACCATTTCTCACTCAGATAGCAATGTTCAGAATATTTTAATAAAGATGGAATCTTTCCAAAGTTGTCCATTACAAGTTCACTCTCTTTCCCCTTACATCCAACAGGACACTGGCTCAGTATGTTGCTGCCCCTGTCCTTCTTTGGTCTTCCCTCTCCCAGGGTCCCTCTGAGCTCTGTCCTGCTTTGTCTAACTCCGGTTGCTAAAGGTTTTGGCAATAAAAAAACTCCCTCATTCAAATTCAGGGCTTTAAAATAAAACAGAGAGGCTGTATTTCTAAGTTAATAAACTTCCATAAAAGAACATTTAAATTTTTTATACATATCTACTGAGCTATAATCCTTGAAACAAACTATTAGAAAAGATAATCAAGAAAAAAAGCATATTTCTAAAAATACCCAATTCCCAGTTTCTCATTCCATTTTTTTAGGTGTTCATCTGACATTACTGGAGTTTTTGTTTGTGAAAAGGGCCTTTGTCCCCAGGAAGGCTGTATCATTAGCAAGCTTGTCAGAGAAGGATGCACATTCCTCTACAACAGCACCCAGAATGCAACTGGATCAATAATGTTCATGCCAAGTTTATCTTCGGTAAGTATGTCCTTAGAACGACAAACTCCTATAGGCTGCCGTATCTTCCTAAGACACACAGATATGCTTGGTGTTGGTAAATATCAGAAGAATTTAGAGTCACTATACTAGAGTCGGGGCGGCGGAGGCGGGGGTTCTACAGTTAATTTAGTCTTTATCCTACATATTAAAAACAAAAAGAACAAAATCTGTCTCCTCCAAATGATAATAAATACAGATTGTTTTTAAAAGCAAAAATCCACTTTCCAGGGAGAGTGTTTAACAAGAGGACTTTTGAGGCCACAAAATGAGCTGCCCATGTGGTGGCGTTCTTTCTTGTGTCATTTCATAGGAAGAGGTATGAGGCTTGCAAGAATGATGGAACAAATAACTGTATTCCTCTCACTTAAGGCTCTCTTTCCTTTGTTTTGAGAAAATCTAGAACTTCAAAAGACAAGCAAGCTAGCCCAGGAAAGTGAACTGATCCTCAGCTTTGCACCTAAGTCTTGTCAACTAGTATTTCATACTAACTCTAAAAAGATAAATGTGTAACTCCATTTTAAACCTGATATTTGCCAGGCAGTGGTGGTGCACACCTTTAATCTCAGCACTCGGCAGGCAGAGCCAGGTGGATCTTTGTGAGTTCAAGGCCAGCCTGGGCTACAGAGTGAGTTCCAGGAAAGGCACAAAGCTACACAGAGAAACCCTGTCTCGAAAAACCAAAGGAAAAAAAACTCTGATATTTAAGAGTAATCAATTACAGGATTTCTCTATGGCCAGTTCATTTTCTTTAAGAAGGATGTCACACACATGACAAACTGTCCCAACTGTTACCAGAACCTTGCACTAGGAGAAAGCATAGAGTTAGGAGGCAGTTGGCTAGTTCACAGGTTTAATGGGACCAGCCTGTGTGGCTTCATTTGTCTATTGTACTTTCCAAAGACCAGAAAGTCATTATCTGTAGATCTTCTCTCTGCTAGGCTGGGAGTGTGGTGGGCACATTTCTTCCTGGAGTATTCTTCCTGTTCCATGGCTGACTGACCGTGCTCACATTGGAACTGTCTTCCTCTATCTGTCCCCTTTCCCTCTCCCTCCCTCCTTTTCTCTCTCCTTCCCCCACTCCCATCTTTTCTGCCTTTTTCCCTTCATTTTTCTAACTTGTTTCTTCAGTCTGGTTTTAATCGATGGTAGGAATCCTTTGCAACATGAACTTGAATGTTTCTATTTCTTGCCTTTATCCATTCTGTTTTTTTTTTTTTTTTTTTTTTTTTTTTTGGTTTTTCGAGACAGGGTTTCTCTGTGTAGCTTTGTGCCTTTCCTGGAACTCACTTGGTAGCCCAGGCTGGCCTCGAACTCACAGAGATCCGCCTGGCTCTGCCTCCCGAGTGCTGGGATTAAAGGCGTGCACCACCACCGCCCGGCTCCATTCTGTTTTCTAATTTATAACTTTTATACCTGGCCTGAACCCAGTTCTAGATATTTGACCCATGTTGTTTGTGAGTAGATAAAATCTTGGTAACCCTTTGCAAAAGCCTACTCGAATATATCCAGTCACAAAAATTTCAAAATCCCCTTGCTACAGTCACGAAATGTAGGGGCAAAAAGCACTAAAAGAAGCAGCACAGGTGTGCTCCTGACGCTACCCCACTGAAACACCGAGCGGGTGTTACCCAGCTAAGCTTCCTCCTCTGTGGAGTCGGAGATGGGACCAGGGAACCTATAAAGTTCTTTCAGACTCTAAGCTCCCCATGCCTCTAATCTTTGTTCTTTGTAGGGCCAGAGCCACTGAGAATAGACAGGCATTCCCCTGCAGTGCCACAACTATAACTTGAAAGGGGGGATGCTTGCATAGGTTGATTACCATTAAGTGATTTACATTTAGATTTCTAAATGGGAAAAGGGTTTCAGAAAGTAGATTTAAGTTGTTTTGCCCTCATCTTACCCTCACAGAGATCAATATTTGAACTAGATCAATATATGTTGACTGATCCGTGGAAAAGATACAGTGTCACATAATGGGATTCCAAAGAATGGGCTGGCCAGGATTACAAACATCTCTTAGGGTGTTTCTTCAACACAGTATCATGCAAGGGAGGAGAAGAAGTTGCTCTGTTTAAGACTGAAGTATATATACACAGTCTGCTCTGTTTTCTCAGCGCAAACAAACTTCTACAAGAGATTGCTTCTGTGACCACAGGGTGCTACTATTTCAAGCAAAAGGTGCCAAGGGTTATTTGCAAACTCGCTGCCACTTTTGAAAAAAGGAAGCGCATGACCTTGCTTTCAGCTCTGTCCTCCTTTTCCCTGTGGCCTAGGGAGGACACAAGTGTCTCTGGTCTGGGGAGGACGCTTTTTGTTCTTTTCCAGGTGGTTGAATTCTGTAACGCAAGCACCCACAACCATGAAGCCCCAAACCTACAGAACCAAGTGTGCAGCCTCAGAAGTACCTGGGACGTAATCACAGGCTCCTCTGACCTTAATCACAGCCTCCCCATGCGTGGGGTTGAGCTTCCTCCTCCTCCCACGTTTTCCCTCATGCAAGCTGGGGACAAAGTCATCTGCTTAGTGATGGACGTGTCCAGGAAGATGGCAGAGGTAACGCACTGGTTCCTAAGGACCGAAAACCACTCTTTAGTTTCCCCTATCAGGTTTTAGCTCTGTTTTTTTTTTTCAGTGTATGAAGCGGGAAGGCACAAAAGGTTTTGAAGAGTCCAAGGTATCTTATTTTCTTGGGAAATGTGTAGGGCAAACTCAGAATGAGGCTCAGAAATTGTGGTGACATAAGTGAAATCCACACAGAGTCCCTAACCCCATTAGCAAGCCCATGTTGCGGCTAATTGTAACATTTCTCCCCTAAGACCCTTTTCCAAAACCTAGATACAGTTTAAAGATGTTGCCTAGCCACACTCTAGTCACTCTTAGAGGCTGTGATTGGGAATGACAGCACAACCACCATGATGAAAACAAAACCTAGGAATTCCTCCTCAGTCCCTGTGCTCTGTGATGAAAGGAGCCAAAGCTGCAAAGAAGTCATGTTTTCCATGCCCACCTAATTACGAAAGGCTGAGGCAGAATTCAAGGACCATGTCTCATCCACCATACTAACCTTCTTCCAAGCTTGTCAGAGAAGTAATATTTGGGGTGGGGGGGCACTAAATTAAAATGTTGTCTAGTTTGAGGTATCTATGAGACCTTAGATGGGTGATGGGTCCTGAGAAGTGTGAGAGGTGTGTCTGGATAACAAGGGAGATATCAAGAAACAGAGGTCACAGCAGCTCGTCACTCCCTTACCTCCCTTCAGAGCCATCAAAAAAGTGACCTTAATGAATTAGTGGTAGCATTATCCCTATCCTTGATTAGTGCATGTCATGTACATGTCGAAGGCAATCCTTTAGCAGCTCTAATAACCAATAAACATAGTATTATGCTCACTCTATAAATAAAGTGCCCAGCCTCAAGTGGCCACCATAGCAGAGGGATGGACACTCGTGTTGCAGACTATCACACCTCTCTATTACCAGATCCCTTTGTAATGTTTCTGCTCACTTGGACTGAGTTAAAAAAGAATCAGTTACAAACCTGTTCTCAATTGACATCATACATTGTTAAATTCTGAGTTGGCGTAAAATGGTGAGAATATGTCATCTTAATTGTGAATAGTTCCTCAGCACTCTCTCCTGCACACCCAGCACACAATCAGCTGAATTGTGTGTTGAGTACACAATTAACTGAAAAAATGTTCTAGCACTGTGCCACTCTTTACAACTCAAAGAACTGCACAGTGTCTGTGGAGAACGAACAGACACTTTGGCTAACTGAATCCTTCCTCATCGTTGGTCTACCAATCGAATGTCACTTTCTCCTTTTTTCTTCTCTTTTGGGGACCTAGGCAAACAGACTCCTTCGACTGCAACAAGCAGCTGAATTGTACTTAATGCAGGTTGTTGAAACTCGTACTTTTGTGGGCATTGTCACTTTTGATAGCAAAGGAGAAATCAGAGCCCAGCTGCAACAAATTAACAGTGACGGTGACCGGAGGCTGCTGGTTTCCTGTCTGCCCACCACCGCGTCCACGGAAGAGGGAACGAACACCTGCGCGGGGGTTAAAAGGGGCTTCGAGGTAGAGTACCCTGAGCTCAGTTGCCCTCACTACCTTCTTTTTCATTTTGAATCTCAGGCTTGGGGCTTTGTTGTTTTTGTTTGTTTGTTTGATTTTGTTTTTGGAAAAGGGGTGTTCTCTTATAGCATGGTCATAGCATCCTCAGCTGTTAGAGAGGAATCATGAATCATTCCTAAAGTCAGGACCCATTTCTTACTCCCATTGCACTCCCTCGGCTTAACAAAGCAACCAACGTAATAATGAATTAAGAGCTGCTTGTTGAAAGAATGAGTAGATAAAAAAGTACAATGAGCTTGGCTAAGGGACTTAAGCACCATCTAGAGTCTTTCCAAACTATCCCTATTTACTCTGAAGTGGCCCCAGCCATGGCAATTGTCCTTATATGTTTCAAGGCAAAATGAGCATTTTTGGTCTTTGCCTACAGACATGCCAGATTTCAAAGATAAGAATCAAGAGGGTCTGAGAAGATAAATAAGTTAATATTCACATAGACATGTGGTGGTATTGTGTTCCCCAAAATATTGTGCACTATAATAAACTTATCTGGGGTCAGAGAACAGAACAGCCACTAGACAGACATAGAGGCCAGAAAATGGTGGCACACACACCTTTAATCCTATCACTTGGGAGGTAGAGAGCCAACTGGATCTCTGTGAGTTTAAAGCCACACTGGAAACAGCCAGGCGTGGTGACTCATGCCTTTAATCACAGGAAGTGAGCCTTTAATCCCAGGAAGTGATGGCAGAAAGCAGAAAGGTATATAAGGCATGACAACCAGGAACTAGCCTTGTTAAGCTTTGAGACTTTTGAGCAGCAGTTCAGCTGAGATGCATTTGGAGGCTTCCAGTCTGAGGAAACAGGATCAGCTGAGGAACTGGCAAGGTGAGGTGGCTGTGGCTTGTTCTGTTTCTCTGATCTTCCAGCATTCACTCCAATAACTCGCCCCTTGGTTTGTTTTTATTAATAAGAACCATTTAATATTCATGCTACATAGATGTGTGTGCACACACACACACAATTAAGACCAGATGTATGTTTCAGAATTGGCAGAATTGATCTAAATCAGCATCTAATAGAAAGCATGACATCAGCTAGCAACTGTTGCCACCCCCGGCCAAGAGTTGTTCAACCTAAGCTGCCCACTGACATTGCTTGATTGAAAAATAGGAGGTGGCGATGGAGCTCAGTGGTAGAGTGAATGTGACTTTAGATTCAATCTCAGGCATGCAAAGTAACAAAAACAAGCCCATGATGCCCCGCATTTCAGGTCTTGTGGTTCTGATGTCATTGATCTGGAGTGTAGCTAAGGTGGAGAACCACTGCTCTCAGCCCTCTTACTGGTCACTGGCTGGATCTTACAGGCAAGGGTCTCATATCATAATGTGTACAATATCTTCTATGAGGCAAAGTCTGTACAACTGTACTGTGATAGAGTGGGGTGAGGATCAACTTGGAGGTGGTCATAGAACATAGGGGTCCTTGAAGAGGTGTAGGTAACACTGGTAGCAATTGTACATGAGAATGATTTCCTCTATTAAGTCAGACAATTTAAATCACATTTCCTTCTAAGTAACGGGTGGCTATCTATGTTCAGGTCATTGAGAAGAGGAACGGAAGAGCCGATGGCTCTGTCATGATATTGGTGACCAGTGGGGCAGATGAACACATACACAACTGCCTACCCACTGCCATGAACAGCGGATCCACCATTCACTCCATTGCCCTGGGTTCCTCTGCAGTCAGAAAACTGGAGGAGTTATCACATCTTACGGGTAAAACCTCCCAAGGTGGCGTCTTTTAGAGCATACCCTTAAAGCTGAATGCACAAAGCTCAGCTATGAAACCCAGATTACATGTCTTAATTAGGAAAAAGGTGAGAAAGATTTCTCTTAAAACACACAAATCATTGATAAAACTAGCTAAAAATTTTCCCAATTTTAAAATGTTTTCTCTAGATTTGGAGTTTTGTACATCCAATGAAAATAGTATTTTTATGATTTGTTAAAGCAGCTTGAGAATGTATATTTGTGAAGCTAAAATCATATTGACTAACTGCAACAACTTCTAAAGTAGACACACGAACAGCATTGTAAGATACGTGTCTGCTTTTTTCTAGACAAGGCAAAGAATAATTTCATCTTACATTCCATAAAAATTAATCCAACAAGCCGGGCGTGGTGGCGCATGCCTTTAATCCCAGCACTCGGGAGGCAGAGGCAGGCAGATCTCTGTGAGTTCGAGGCCAGCCAGGTCTACATAGTGAGTTCCAGGATAGGCTCCAAAGCTACACAGAGAAACCCTGTCTCAAAAAAAAAAGTTAATCCAACAAATTGACCATTGAAAATTAAGATTTACTGGAATTTTTTAAAAATGGTGTTCTCAGAATATAATTACAAATGCACAGCAATGCAATGACTAGCAAGTAAGCTCCATCATTTAGGAATTGTTTTGGATCTAAGACTACCCACTAAGTATCTCCTGAGTTCTTCTACAGTGGGCAGAACACTAAAGCCTGAGGAAACAGCCATGAACTGACACTGAAAATCACCTCCCTAAGGCCACTTGCCTCATAGTGATGTGAGATGTCATTCACAATGAGCCAAGGACCCTCCTACCAACTCCAGACCATCACACTAATGTGGACACAGTGTGTCAGAGGAGATATAATCTTTATTTGATCTATCTATCTTTTTTTTTTTTTTTTTTTTTGGTTTTTCGAGACAGGGTTTCTTTGTGTAGCTTTGCGCCTTTCCTGGAACTCACTTGGTAGTCCAGGCTGGCCTCGAACTCACAGAGATCCGCCTGCCTCTGCCTCCCGAGTGCTGGGATTAAAGGCGTGCGCCACCACCGTGATCTATCTATTTTAATAGTTGGCATTCAAATCATGTGTTTCAGGAGGTTTAAAGTTCTTCATTCCAGATGAATCCAATCCCAACAGAATGACTGAAGCTTTCAGTAGGGTCTCTTCTGGAACGGGGGACGTTTTCCAGCAAAGCTTACAGGTCAGAACCTCAGTCTAATATGTGTAGAGGGGCAGACCAGATGGACTGTACCATCCACATTATTCTTTGAATCTGTAACTCTCTGTGTGCAGAAGGTTCTAATGAGCTTCTTGTTGTCCCCAGAGCCTGGAGTCATTTCACCTCCTGTCTGTGTGGCTCATTTCCATAGTTCCTTTCTATAATGACCATTTCAGCTTTCCAGGTCTGTAAAACAACTTCTTAATGCCTGAAAATGCAGCTAGAGGTAGGGTAGAGTAGAGCAGGGTGTGGCTGGGTAGGGTTGGATAGGTGGGGTGGGGCAAGTTCCAAAACAGAAATAAGAAGCTTTGCTTTCATTTTTTCAGTTCCATTAATTTCCCCTCAGCCACACTTTGTTTCACTCTGGCTGCTTCCACATCTTTACAGTTTCTCATTTTTATGAGGAATATTAATTATTTCATAAAGTTTTAGAAATTTCTATATCTTTACCCTGCCGTACGTGTGTGTGTGTGTGTGTGTGTGTGTGTGTGTGTGTGTGTGTGTGTGTGTGTGTATTTTCTCTTGATACAGGGTTCACATGGTTTAGACTGTATGTAGCCCAGGCCAGCCTTGAACTCCTGGTCTGCCTAGTTCTATCTTCTAACTATAGGAATCACAGGCATAAGCCACCAACCTCAGTTTTAGATTGCCTCTTAATTAGCACAATTTATTAGATTTGGGGCACAAAAACGTCCTCTAATCAAGCTACCATTAATTTTTTTCAGTTTAAATACTTTAAAGAGTTTAGACATAACTGAATAATGTTTCAAACAGAATTTCACCTGCAATTTCCTTACAGATGGTGAGTAAACCTGCCAAGTTATGCTTGATGTAAACAGTGAACTTAGTGAATTATTGTCAGGAAATATTGAACACGCAGCTGACATATGCACAGTAAAGATAGTAATAGTGCCATCACTAGAAGTCAAATACATGCCCCAAGAGACACTGTAATCAAGTGATCAAAGGTCAAAGATAAAGTGAAGATTCATAAAAGGGAAATACACATCACAGAAGGTTTCCCAGCTTGGCAGACAGTAGACATCTGGACAAAATCTCTATAGGCCTCCAGAGATAGTCTAAGTGCTAAAGAAAAACTCTACCCACCAATAGTAGTCTACCTAACAAAACTGTTCTTAAGGGTAGCCCACTAGCCCAGGCTGGCCTTAAACTCTCAGCAGTCTTCCTCCATCAGCTTCCCAAAAGCTAGGATAACAATCGTGCACCACTGTGCTCAGCTAGCCAACTGAATTTGACAAAAAGGGCCATAAATATACAGTGAAGAAGAACGAACTTTTCAATAAACATTGCTAAAAAAGATTGGATGTTCCCAGGCAGAAGAATGGAAGCAGACCCGTATCACACAGCAATTTCAAAACCCAAGTCAACATAGATAAAGTTCTTCCTTGTAAACTTGACATAGAAGATAACATATAGTAGAAATAGTGCAGCACTTGAGGACAAACAAGGGTATTTTTGTGGGGGAGATGGGGACAGGGGATAAAATCCTCAAAGAATGAGAAATAAAGGCTAAAATCAACTAATGGCAATTACATCAAACTAAAAAGAAGCTTAGCAAAGGAAACAATCAGCCCAACACAGACAGAGCTCATAGAAGGAGGCAGCATTTAAAAACTGTGCTTCTAATGAGTGGCCAATATCCAAAATAGATGGAACTCCAAGGACTCTATAGCAAAAAACAAAAATGTCCCAGCTTTTAAAAGCGGGCAATAAGCTGGATGTGGTGGTGCACTCCTTTAATCCCAGAACTCCAGAGGCAGAGGCAGGAGGGTCTCTGTGAGTTCCAGGCCAGCCTGGTCTACAGAGCAAGTTCCAGGACAGTCAGAGAGCTACATAGTGAGTCCATGTCTCAAAAAAAAGAAAAACAAACAAACAAAACAATAACCAAAAAACCCCAACAAGAACTGGGCAATAAACCCAAGGAGACAGTTTTTAAAAGGAGACATACAAATAGTCAACAGATCAAGCAGACATTTTTCAAAAAGAAACTTACAAACAGCCCATAGGTGTATGAAAAGATGTTTAAAATAACTAATCATCAGAGAAATAAAGATTTAAAACCACATCGAGATATCACTTGTTCCAGGAAAAATGGCTAATGCCAAAAAGATGGAAGACGACATGCTGGTGAGAGCGTCATACTGTTGACAGGAATGTGAGTGGAACCGTGAAGGAGAATATCATTAAGCCTCCTCACAAAACAAAAATGCAACCACCATACAATTTTTAAAACTGTTTTTTCTAATTTCATACTAGAACTTGTAAAAACATAAAGATATAGTTATACGAATTAAAACCATTTAAACATATCAACAAACAAAGTCTTCTAAGCACTCACCATCATAACTGGCAGTGTAAAGTTAGTACTTTTTTCGAGGGAGATACGGGAGAACAGCTACATCACTTCTGAAGGGTAATGGAGCGGACTGGGTGTGCAGCACAAGGACAGAACAGCTGCCTGGCAGGTGCAGGCTCTTGTTTAATCCCCAGCATCACAAGAAAACAGTCAAACAGATGAACAGTGAAGCCAGGCATGGGGGCATGAAGCTATAATCCCTGTATTTAGAAGGATCAGCAATTGAAGTTTAGCCTGAGCTACTCGAGACCTAGTCACACACAAACAAAGATAATAATGCATTGTACTTGCACTAACTGCAAGAAGGTATTTTATAACTTGTAGATGTATCCAACCTTCTTATTAAATAAGAAACACAGAACCAATGCAAAGAAGAAAGCCAAGAGGTCAGAGCTAAGAGCTAAAACCTTACCCTTCCTCCTGCGGTGGTCCTACCTCTCCGAACCAGAGCCACCCCCGTGTCAAAGTCTTTACACAGAGTTCCTGTCCTGCCCTCTCATTGGTCGCAAATCCAACCACATGACCGCCTCCCCACAGCCTGTCTGTACAGGCCTCCAGGTTTTCCATGATTGGCATCAAGATCAAAGGCATGTGTATCCAACAATGGCTGCATCCCTGAACACACAGAGACCCACCCAGCTCTGCCCACCAAGTGCTGGAACTACAAGTGTACGCCACCACTGCCCCGCTCTCCCACGGCTTGCCAACAGCTCCGACCCCCGGGCAATTCCATTTACCAACATACAAATAACATTTTAATACAAATAAAATATCACCATAATAACTAGTTATGCAATGTACAATATTTTGCTTTGATATGTATATGTACAGTACACATCTGAATTAAACGTATTGCCTATTCATTTTTTCATTATAAACACAAGGCAAAAAAAGGAAATGTGATGTGTTCACTAGAAACTTTCTCTTTAACAGCTTGAAAGCGTGTGCGAAACTGTGCAATCCCAGCACCAACTTTTAAACTCTGTGACGGTGGATAGCGCTGTGGGCAATGACACAATTTTTGTAGTCATGTGGCAGACCAGTGGTCCTCCTGAGATTGTGTTATTGGATCCTAGTGGAAGAAAATACAACACCAGTGACTTTGTCATCAATCTGGCCTTTCGGACAGCAATCATTCAGTTTCCAGGAACTGCAAAGGTCAGTGTGGGAGCCTGTTCACAATTGATGGTGCTCAGGTGAGTGTAGAGCTTGCAAGTGCGTCACATGCTTAAATGTGTTGTGTAAAGGAAATGTGCTGACATGTCAAAACATTATAAAAATATTTTTGTGGATGTTAAAAAATTAAGAGGAGCAATCAAAGCATGTCCACAGTGTTAAGTACTAGATAAAACTGTTATGTTCACAATGGAGATCAATGTTTCTCTACAGCATTAGTAGTTTTTTGAAACCTGTATCTTTATAAGAGATATCCAGGCTAGGCGGTGGTGGCACATGCCTTTAACCCCAGCACTCGGGAGGCAGAGGTAGCAGAATGAGTTCCAGGAAACTCTGTCTCAAAAAACAAACAAAGAAAGAAAGGAAGGAAGAGAGAAAGAGAGAGAGAAATGGAGAGAAAGAGAAGAAAGAAAGAAAGGAAGGAAGGAAGGAAGGAAGGAAGGAAGGAAGAAAGAAAGAGAGAAAGAGAAAAAGAAAGGAAGGAAGGGAGAAAGAAAGAAAGGAAGAAAGAAGGAAAGAAAAGAAAAAAGAGAGATCCATATAAATATAATTTCCTCTATGTTTGGGAGCAGATCTATACAGACTTCATAATATGACTAATAAAATGTGTAAATTTTTTTTTTTTTTGGTTTTTTGAGACAGGGTTTCTCTGTGTAGCTTTGCGCCTTTCCTGGAACTCACTTGGTAGCCCAGGCTGGCCTCGAACTCACAGAGATCCGCCTGGCTCTGCCTCCCGAGTGCTGGGATTAAAGGCGTGCGCCACCACTGCCCGGCAAAATGTGTAAATTTTTTAGTACCTACTATGTTCTGGGTCTTGCACTTAGAATAAAACGTCCTGATTAGGACTAAGCACCAGGTACCACTACAACATACATGAGGATGAGAAGAAGAAAGCTCCCCAGCAATGAGGACATCATCAAGGAAATACAAGAGACAAGAGTCCTGAAGTGGGTACGGCATTCTGGGCTCAGGAAATAGAACATGGGAAGGCTCAAAGACAAAGCGGAGCCGTTAGTAATTCAAGATGGAAGAACCTGAGAGTAGCACATAGGCTGAGGGTGTGAGTGATGGGAGAAGAGGGAAGTGAAGAGGCCCAGTTGATAAGCAACAAGGGCTGTTCGGATCAGCACACAGAGCAGGGGCTGGACCACTGGACCTCCACAGGAGGCTGGGAGCCAGCACAAAAATCCCTCAGACCTGACTGCCTCATCGAGCACTACCCTCATCTGTCCATTCCCATTACTTTGTTGTTTCAAGTCGGGGTCTTGCCATGTTGCCCAGGTTGGTCTCAAACCCTCAGACTCAAGCATTTCTCCCACTTCAGCTTCCCAAATTGCCAAGTGCTGGGATGATCCAGATGTTCCACCTGGCCCAGATTGGCAGTGGCCACTTCACTGGATTCTGAGCTGGCGACCTCCAATCTACCCATCAGTGGACCCTTCTGAGGTCTGCCTCCTGCTCAGAACTCTGTGGAACTTTTATGATGAAATGCCAACAATTATGGTTGCCGCTGAGCAGTTTATGTCTGGCTTCTGGCCCAGCTCCTACCCTTCTCCAAAATATGTCCTTCTCTGTTCCTACTGAACTTTTCTGCAAATTGATTGTGCTCTTCTCACATAAGGGCCGTGGATGCCATCTCTCATCTTTCTTGCTCTCTTGCCTGACCCCTTCATCTGGATTGAAAGCACCAAAGAGAACTTTTTGATCTGGAGGTTCCTGCCACATGTCTGCTAGTGATGCCATCAGTTCAAAGGCAGCCAGTGAGTGGGGTGACCTGGGTGCTTGACTCAGGCCTCCCTGGGAGATGGCAAAGTGTGTGAGTCCCGTGGAGGAAGGCTGGCCAGAGTGTGGTGGCAACCAAACCCGTCTTCTCAAGTCTCGCCTTGATCCATTGCGTTTCTGCTGATTCTCTTCTGTTATTTCCAGAGGTTAAACATTGGCAGCAGAGGAGTCCTAACAAAAGAGAAGTGTGTAGCTCAGTCAAAAGGAAACACTCTGCTACATAGAAATCTCAGTCTTGTTTGTTCTTTCAAATATTGTTTCTTCCAGGTGGCTTGTATAAACGAGAGGATGACAGGGAGCAGAATCTTAAAAAATCCCTGGGCATAGGCACTGTGCCACTCTGAACTGTTCAGGACAGTAGGTTATGTTCTAGTGGTATGGGTACTTTCTGTTCTTTGAAATTTCTGGGGCGTGAGAGGTATGGAACAAAAGAAGAATATGCTTCTATATTAGCCCAGGGTGTCGATGGGGATCCACAATGGTCCACTTAATTTATTTAATTTTACCAGTTCTAAAAAAGAACTAAAGTATTTAACTTTGAATAAAGAAGTCCAGATTGATCAGTGCAGAGTCCTTTGATGCTGAGGTGATTGCCATGATGTCCTAAAACTGGGAGGCAAAACGTGTCCTCAAATCGATTCAGGATGTATTTACCCTCTGGAGCTGCCTGACAGTTACAGTGACTGGCTAGATACCACTTAACTAACAGGACCTGTCCGAACATCTTTTCTTGGATTGAAAAAAAATTCAGCATCAATAAAGTGTTGATTTTTTTCTTCTTCACGATTAACAAAAACATCTTGTTTTGCAGCCTGGGCACTGGACTTATATACTGAACAACACACACCATTCTCCTCAAGCCCTGAAAGTGACAGTGGCCTCCCGAGCCTCCAGCCTGGCCGTACCCCCAGCCACTGTGGAAGCCTTTGTGGAAAGAGACAGCACCTATTTTCTTCAGCCGGTGATAATTTATGCGAACGTGAGGAAGGGTCTGTATCCTATTCTTAATGCCACCGTGGTGGCTACAGTCGAGCCAGAGGCTGGAGATCCCACTGTGCTGCAACTTTTGGATAATGGAGCAGGTAAGGAGGAGTATCACGGTGTTGCACTGTGGCGAGGTTCCGTAGGTGTTCCTAACCCCTGGGAAATCCCTCCACTCAACTGCTTTCCTAGTCAATCCTACCCGATTCTTGAGAGCTTGTTTGTAGCTTTGCGCCTTTCCAGGAACTCACTTGGTAGTCCAGGCTGGCCTCGAACTCACAGAGATCCGCCTGGCTCTGCCTCCCGAGTGCTGGGATTAAAGGCGTGCGCCACCACCGCCCGGCTCACGGGACTCTTGATCAAAGATTGGCCCTCCTCTATTGGGAACGGTCCTCTGCTTCCACTGAACACACATCTTTGGGAGGGATGTGCATGAGAGAGGATGGGGTTACCCACCCATTTTATAGATATAAAACTGAGGTTCAGAGGCAGTCAGCTTCAAAGCTGTCCTGGTACAGATCCTTAACTTAAACCCAAGTTCTCTGACTCCCTAGAGAAAGTTCTGTCCCCTTTCCTTCTGACAGTGATGAGAAGAGGTGACCACCATGCCTGTAGGGTGGACAAATCTCCCTTTGCAATTTCTCAACAAAGGTAGACCATCTAAATGCCAAGATTTTTTTCCTTCCATCGACAAAAAAAAAAAAAATCTAAATCTTCATGAGTAAGGTGGTTACCACTTATTTTATATAAACAGACCCCTCAGTTTTCTCACGTGGCAGGGCTTGTCCCTCTAGTGGGGGAGCTGGTTTTGGAGCACTTTAATAGTAACACAATGTCAACATTTGGAGCCTGAGGTGTGATGTGAGAACTGATAAGACCTTGGGATACGGCAGGCTGCTTACCCAGTGTGACAGGCTGCCTTGAGTGCACTGCTGTCCTGGGATCCAGATCTTTCTGCCTAGAGCTGTGGACTCCACTCTGGATTGTGCTGCCCTCTGGGAATCACAATGCAAGGGAGGACAGGCTCTCAGAACGTCCTCACAGCAAGGCACAATGGCGGGAACCAAAGCCCGCTGGCTGCAGCTCAGGGAACTCATACACTCGAGACGGCAGGGCGGTGTGTCCTCTATTGAGGAACTCAACTAGCTACATGCTTTTTTATCAACCACCAAAGCTGTTTAGCATTTCATTCAAGACTATTAAACAAATGCTTCTCTTGAACTTACAAGAAAATTTATGTTTGTGCATTTGAATTTATCTTTTGGAGACAGATTTTATTTCAAAGGGGTGAATAAGTACGGCCATATGACCATAAATAATCTTAAGAATGCTTTGTTTCTGTAGAAATTATTATTAGTTTTTTAATTGTAAATATATTTTAGTACAATATATTCTGTTATTATTTTGGATCATAAGAATGAAAGCTTTCAAGATGATTTTTAAATGTTATCTCTGAAATAGGTGTAATGAGGTTGGATGCATTCAGAGTGATATGTTTATAGGTTATTCAGCTTTAGAAAACAGCTTTTCAGAGAGAAAGTAATCACAGGAAGAAATTAAGATGCTATCTTATTTTAAACTGCATGATAGTATCAAACGTAGATACAGTACCATACGCCAAGATGGAAGTAATTTTGCAGAGATGGGGATGTGAGACCGTCACAGCCTACAGTGACACCATCTGCAGGAGGCAAGAAAGCAATTCAGTTCAGATTCAACAGTCTGACACAAAGTGTCGTTTTAGGCACATGTAAGCACAGCACAATTTGACGAAAACTTTTCTGGTGACAATGAACTCAAACCTGTGTGCACAACAAGGCACACATAAATCTCTTTGAGGAACAAAATAAGCTAAATAAAGATCAGACATGACTGACTACATTGAAACTCTTCATGAAGTACATGCGACAATCCCATAAGGAAAGTTTCTATAGACTGAGAAAAACAAACTTATGATAAGAGTCTGGGTGAGGGTCTAGCCACACAGATAGCACAAAGGTTACCAGGCTAGAAAGCACACCTGCTCCCAGCCTTCTGGGTGGATAACAAGTCTTTCATTCCTGGAAGGAACAATCTTATGTGTTTGACATTCTAGCTTCCCCTAGTGCTTATCAGTGAGCACAGAGCTCTTTGCTCTCTACAGAAAGAAGAATATGTATTTAATAACTCATTAAATATTAGCAATCAACTCTGATGACATGTTAACACAGAATGTTTGTCTATATGCACAGGTGCTGACGTTATTAAAGGGGATGGAATTTACTCCAGGTTTTTTTTCTCCTTTGCCATAAGTGGTAGATATAGCTTGACAGTGCATGTCCATCACTCTCCCAGCATAAGCACCCTAGACCACTCTGTTCCAGGAAGCCATGCTATGTATGTGCCAGGTTATATAGCAAACGGTAAGAACCATGTACACTGTGAATGTGTGTAATATTATTTCATGTGTGTGTGTGTGTGTGTGCGTGTGTGTGTGTGTGTGTGTGTGTGTGTAATAGGAAGATGGAGATGAGAGGGGAGAGGATAAAGGAAGAAGGGGGAGAGAGAGAAAGAAGAGAAGGAGAGACAAGGAGGCAGAGGCAGGACTGAGGGAGGGAAGAAGGGAAAAAACTGAGAGAGACATGGAATTTCCAAACCATGCTTAGGTCTGTGGCTACAGCTAAGTGGTAGAGCACTTGCCTGGCATGAACCAAGATTCAGTCCCCAGTAACTAACTCTCTCTCTCTCTCTCTCTCTCTCTCTCTCTCTCTCTCTCTCTCTCTCTCTCTCTCTCTCTCTCTCGTGCTTCTTGCAATTCGCAATGATTTGTGGTAGAGAATACAGAAAATAGGTATTTCCTATAGATTGATCCTCTCATTACTTTAGTAATTTATTCTGAATACTGTCTTGTGATTGTTTGGTTGCAATAACTAACAGACAAAGAGACTCCCTGCAATTTATTTGGTCTCATATTTCCTTTATAGAAATGTAGACAAGAGCAAAAAGTTGAAAGCATGATGCGAACAGCCCCAGAGATCAATGCAGGAAATGAATTTCTGAATAAGCATGAGCTTGGCTATTACAGACAGCTGATCAGAGGTTCTGCTACCCTTCAGATAAAAGTGCCAAAATAAATAGGAGGTATACACTGTCTTTCTAGAAAAATATTATTTTAGTTCCTGTTAGGAAGCATCGTCCAAAATAAAAGAGAAACCTGCTGTGCTATGATGTCTCTAAAAGCAATCTCTGGGGCCATTTCTAATCATTTTTATTTCTAAAAATGGAGGATTTTGAGACAAGCTCTCTCCCTCACACTCCCCCCTCTCATCTTGAGTGGCTTTGACTTGTTTTGTTTGTTTTTGTTTTTATTTTTGTTTTGCAGTGCTGGGAATGGCCCTCAAACACTTGTGCACCCTGGGCATATGCTCCCTGGCTGAGCTAGCCCACCTCCCAGGTCCTTCCCTCCTCCCTTCTGGAATGGCACTGCCTGTGCCTGAGGCCCAGCTCCTCCATTTACTGCTGTGTGACGGAGAGCAGCTTAACTCTGTGTCTCTCCATTTCATTAGCAATAAGTGTATGGCAAAATAATTCACCCTCTTCATTACCTTGCTAGGGGAATTAAGTATTTAATACAGCAATATATTTAAAAATACCTTTCCATAGTAGACACACAGTGAATACCACTTACTATTATTAAAAATCATTGCTAGATAGCTTCATTAATCCATATGGTTTTGATAACAGTTATATGCCAAAACCTCCAAATTCATAATCTTAAGGTTATTGATTCTAGCTTAAATGTTTTTAAATATTAAAACCCATATCTAATTAGTTCTCTTTTAGAGGAATCATAAACCTAACTTTTGGTCTCTGACTCCTTGGCCATCTTCTCCTATCAAATTACACCAATTAGAAATTATTTTAAGAATTACTTTTAAAGTATTTATTTGTTTATTATTGTATGTGTACATGCTAAAGCAAGTGTATTGAGCTCAGAAGAAAACTTGTCAAAACTGGTTCTCTTTCCTCCTTATGAGTCTTTTCTTTCACCATTCCACATTCAAATCTATCATCAACTTGTGCTGTCTGCAAATTACACACTAAACTACCCTTTCTTGCCTCCCCCTGAAGTCATGATTGAAAGCTGCCACTGTCTTCTCTCATGGTGACTATCGGATGGCTCTTTCTAAGTGGCCTCTTGCTTACTGAAGTTTGATCCATTTTCTAGGGACCTGTGAGAAGGCAAAATGATGGATCATGCCATCCCTGCTTTCCCACAGCACTGGGATTAAACCCTAAGCCTGCTACACTGACCCCTGAGGTCGGTTATTACTGTTCTTCTGTCTCATCTCAGGGTCTTCCGCTCTCTGTCTGTAGTGCTGGGGATTGAACCCCAGGGCACCTTGCATGCTAGGCAAATGCATTACTTCTAAGCTGTAGCTGCAGCCACCCTCTTCCTTAGCTCAGTCTCTCTAACCTGCACCTTTCCTGCATGTAAGTTTTCATGCAAGCTGTTCTCTTTGCCTAGGATGTTTCTCCCTTCACTTCTTACCTGAGCAACTCAGCCTTTGGGAAACTTGAATGTTACTTCAATACCACCATAAATGATGTGGTCTTGCAGAGCACCCTGCCTTTTTATTATTCTGTATTAGTCACAGTTTATAAATATCTATTTACTGATATGACTGCCATGGCTGTAAATCTCATGAGAGAGACTGTTCAGTCTGATTCATAGTGCAGCAATCTGCCCCTAAAGAATATGTATGGAGGGAATAAATGGATGAATGAGCGCATTATTGACTAAGTAAACTCAGTTGTTCTAATGATGTCTCAGCAATCTGTCAAGGCTGTTCAGAAGGTTTGTAATTTGATATTTGGCTTTTTCTTTGTGCTTCAGATAATATTCAAATGAATGCTCCAAAAAAAACTGGCCACAGAGGTGTGGAGGAGCAGTGGGGCTTCAGTAGAGTAAGTTCTGGGGGCTCCTTCTCAGTGCTGGGAGTTCCAGCTGGCCCCCATCCTGACATGTTTCCACCATGCAAAATTACTGACCTGGAAGCTGTAAAAGTGGAAGAGGATGTGATCCTCTCTTGGAGAGCACCTGGGGAAGACTTCGATCAGGGCCAGGGTAGGTTTGCTGACAATTGTTATACAACTACCTTTCTACAAACAGTATTTTATTTTCAGTGTGCGTGTGCGTGTGCGTGTGCGTGTGCGTGTGCGTGTGCGTGTGTGTGTGTGTGTGTGTGTGTGTGTGTGTGTGTGTGGTCATTTTTACTGTTTTCTATAGCAAGCTTTCTGGTCAGACTTTCTTTGGACCACCAGCCCCCACATGGAGACTTATTAATTACAAAAGCTTGGCCTCAGCTTAGGCTTGTTTACAACTCTTATAACTTAAATTAACCCATTTATATTAATTTATGTTCTGCCATGTGGCTGTTTTTTCTTCTCCATAATGTACATCCGACTTTTTATGTATCTTGATAGTGAAATCTGCACACCTAATTCATCTCCCAAGTTCCTCTCTCTCCCAGAAATCCCACCTATCCTCTCTTGCCTAGCTATTGGCCATTCAGCTCTTTATTAAACCAAGCAGAATAAAACAGCAACACATTTTCACACAGTGTGATCAAATATCCCACAACAGTTTTCCGTATAAACTTTACAAAATGTTTCACTAGTTAAAGCAAGACCTAGAGACAGCTCAAAGAAAGCAACCTAAAATTTACATAATAACTTGTAGGGAGGATGACATCTTGATTATGCTGCATCTTGCTTTTAAAAAATACCAAGGTCTCCTGGCTCAGGCTTTAGCGTCAATCCTTGCATTGTGACTTGGTATTTAGTGCTTTTTCAGCTGTGTATTCCTTTATAGTTTGACTTTTGTAGCCATTGTCATTACTCATTTTCAGTAAACTAACAAAACTTACTCAGTGACTAAACTTTCCCATATGTATTTTCAATTTCAGCTACAAGCTATGAAATAAGAATGAGTAAAAGTCTACAGCGTATTCGAGATGACTTTAACAATGCCATTTTAGTGAACACCTCAGAACTAAATCCTCAGCAAGCTGGCACAAGGGAGATATTTACATTCTCACCAAAGCTTGTCACCAGTGAACTTGAACATGAACCTGATGGAGAAATGCAAGAAAACCACGTAGTGTATGTGGCCATGAGAGCAGTGGATCAAAACTCCCTGAAGTCAGCTGTGTCTAACATCGCCCTGGTGTTGCTGTCTGTTTCCCAAAATTCTGCTCCTGCACTTAGCAGAGATGATTTAATACTGAAAGGAGTTTTAGTGGCAGTAGGTTTGATAGCAATGGTCTGCCTTACTATCGTTGTAGCACACTGCACTTTAAACAGGAAAAAGAGAGCATTAAAGAAAGAGAATGGAACAAAATTGCTATGAACAAATGTGCATAGTACCTTCCTTCCTAGATATGATGCCCATGGCCTTTACATTCATAAAAAATGCCAACAAAATCAAATTAGCATCAACACTATGTTGAAATGCATTTGGGCATTTATATAATCACGATTCAGGTTTTTACATAGCAGATAGACACCACTTCCCCCATCAAAAAGCCAGCTTTTATAATACTCATTTGGGGGGAATGGTTAGAAAACAGTAATTTTATAGTTATGGAAAAATAATTTAAAAAAAATATTGTTCAAGGTAATGTCTTGAAAGGCAAGGTAAGGGCAAAATCAAATCTGAGTCAAGAAAAGCATGTTTTATTGAAGTTGAGGGAAAAAAAATATCCCAGGCACAGAAAAGGAGGTTGGGTCTGAATTGGGCAGTGTAATTGACTGTATGAAGCAACTGTGTTACTTTGATTAATTTCTCATCTCTGCTTATCAGTGCAGAGCAGGATGCGTGTTTATAACTGACAACCAAGCTGCTATAGAGCTGGGGTCTCCGCTGCAGGCTCTTCATGTCTTCTCCTTTGGTTAAGTTTGCTATGGCTCTCTTTCCACCACCAATGCTTAGACAGGCCCCTTCTTACTGTGAGCAGAGACCTTAGAGTATGGCCATTGTCCTTACCCCTTGGTACTGATCTGTGACAGAGGTCGCCAGAGTTTATTTTTTGTAAGATTTTAGTCCCATTGAAGCAGCTTTGAAGTTATTGCCTTGGAAATACTTGAATAAAAATGGTTACAGCTCTCATGAGGCTTTAAGTAAAGAATAAAAAATGTTATTCTGAAATAATTTTAATATGTACACCATACAGTTTTACTCTATTTGAAAGAAGAGGTCATGGAAAGAAAGACATTTAGAAGCAACTAGCAGATTATGTTCTCTAGTTAAATAAGAATCTACAATCCTTCTTCATCAAGGGCAGAGAAAGGAGACAGCAGAGATAACATAGAAAAAAAAACATCGAAAGTTACTTACTCTTTTTAAAAAATATTATTGAATAGTAACATGAAGCCAGAAGTGAGAGATTCAGCAGAGTGGGAGAAAAACAGCCAGGGATTCTCTCTGCTCCAGCTGCCTTCCCAGAATTCCTGTTACTGTCCATGTCCGCCATTGCTGTCTAAGTTTCCAGTTCCTGAATCTCCACAGCTGGGAGCCTGGAGGCCTCTTCAGCCCAGGTCCCAGAGTGGAGCTGAGTCCTTCTGCCCTGCATTGCCACTACATCCAATAGCCAGGATTTGCTTCTCTATGGCTTCAAATTGGGCTGGTAAAATACAGAGATGGGGCTGGGAGTAAGGAGCTCAATTTCTCAGATGTTTTTATTTTACAGACAGGAAGACAAAATCAGGGTGGATCAAGGCTCTTTGGTTTTTTTTAAATTTTTATTTTATAATTAATTTAATTTTTACATATCAGCCATGGATTCCCCTGTCCTCCCTTCTCCCACCCCCCAGCCTTCCCCCCCAGTCCAACCCCCCCATTCCACCTCCTCCAAGGCAAGATCTCCCCTGGGGATTCAGCTCAGCCTGGTAGATTCAACTGAGGCAGGTCCAGTCCCCTCCTCCCTACACCAAGGCTGAGTAAAATGTCTCAGCATAAGCCCTAGGTTCCAAAAAGTCAGCCCATGCACCAAGGACAGGTCCCTGTCCCACTGCCTGGGGGCCTCCTAAACAGTTCAAGCTAATCAACTGCCTCCCTTATCCAGAGGGCCAACTGGTAAGAGAGAAGAGGGATTGTATGAACAAGAGATATTGAGACCATGATTGGAAAAAGCACAGGGACAAATAGCCAAACTAGTGGAAACACATGAACTGTGAACCAATAGCTGAGGAGCCCCCATGGAACTGGATCAGGATCAAGGCTCTTTGATGGAGGATAGCAGAGCTGTATAAACGTAGAGTAAAGTTATCAGTTATCCCTTTACTCTGCCTACTGAAAAGGGCGTGAGAGCTGCCAGGGGAGACTTCACTCTTCCGTGATCCATTAGCAGGAGAGAGCCACTTGTGGGGTTTAACGCGTACTTGAACCCCAACATTAAAGAGGCTGTGGCAGAAGGAGAGAGAATTGAGGCCAGACTGCACTGTACAGCAAGACTCTGTCTCAAAAAAACTAAAACACAAGAAAAGAAAAGGAAAGAAAGACTAAAGGACTTGCTTTATCTCTGGTTTTCCCCCCATTTTGTGAGAAGGAGTATAAGCAAGTACATCTGACTTTGGTTTGGAAATTATCAAAGCGTCAGAGACAAAAGTGAAGGACACCGAAGATGTAAAGTTAACACCCATGCCGGGCAGAGTGGTCGATCTCATGAAGTGGGGAGAGGAAATGGTACTCAGGACCAGGAGGGAAAAGTGGAGGCAACAAGAGAGATGCAGTAGATAGAGGAAAATACTGAATTAGAGATCCCAGCCACCGATAGAGTAGACCTGTGGTAAAGTTCCTGTTGATCATTAACAAATAAAAAAAACAGAAACAGAAAACTGGGACAGGGAGAAGGAGGAAGCATGAAGCATTAGCCACTGGCTGTGTACCACATGAATAATGACAACATTAAAGATTTGACCTGAGATTATAAGAGGAGGGAAAATGTGAGCTAGATACTCAGTTATCTGATTGGGGCAGAGAAGTCTGGGAAAATGAAAGTAATACAGCAAACAGCATAGTCTCTAAATGACAGAATGGTGATGGTTATACAGTAGATAGAACTGAGTTCTAAGGATTAAAGCTTCTCACTTTTGCCCTCAGCTTTTAGTGCTAGCAAAGAAAGATGAAATTTCAATGGAAGACAGACAAAAGTAGTAGATGCCAGCTTCTAATAGACTATCGACAGAGTATAGGCTCAGCAGCTGAGAAGACCCCTAAGCAGCCACTGTCACCTTGCATGTTATTCCCAGAAAAATCTACCCCCCAAAGTGTTTATTTGTCTTTGTTCATCTGCTATTAAGAAGTATTTATTCTAAGAAGTATTGAACCTGCTAAATCATTTCTTTCAAAGTTTAAATCCAAAGACACTAATGAGTGAAGCTGCTTCTTCCAGATGAATTTTCTTGTTCCTATGAAACAAGATTCTTTAAGACACTGGACACTAACAAAAGCAGAGAGAAACTGTGCCACATCAATGGGGAGTCCATCAAGGTGAGATCTGATTTTAGTCAGCTCTCCCTGAAGACTCTCACATTTTGAGACATTAGACAGCACTTAAGCAGAAAGCAACAGTTTTATGGGGTGAGTAAACTCGGCTCTCAGGACACTGGTGTAGCTGCAAACTGAAAAGTGAAATCTGAGAAAGCAGGTATCACAAAGGGAGAAGTTGACACCTTTTCATGTTTGGATGAGACTCACGTTACATGGGAAGTTTGTGGGAGAAAAATGGCTGAAAGGCAAAGAGCTGGAGAATATTCAGCCACTGCCTCATTCTGGGGAAAGGTTCCGAAGACTCCCTGCATCTGTGTGAGAAAGGTGGGACTCACACTGGGTTGTCTCTGGCCAAGCAGAGACCATGTTACTAATTAGATTATACCTTAGAACTGAGGGTAAATCCTTAGTCTGCTCTGAAAAAGCCTGATACCAAGGCTCTCTGGAAACAAGATGACTAATGATTAAACTAGCACTAGAACAGAACTCTAAGAAAAATAATACATACAATCCTGCACACACACACACACACACACACACACACACACACACACACACACACACACACACACACACAGAAGTAAAACATACCAGTAAGGAGTAAATAACAACTATTATAATGATGATATGCTATCAGAAGAAGAATTTTGAGAAATTTTTCAAACTTTTAAAAAGAAAACAGTAGTGAACTAAAACTTCCACCAGGGAGCTACAGCTGACAAACACTTTTAGCGAATAGCTAGACACAAAATTAACTCATGAAAATCAGTAGCCCTTCTATGTACAAATGACAAATGGACTGAGAAAGAAACAACACCTTTCACAACAGCCTCAAATAATACAAAACATGTGGGTGTAACTCTAACAAAGCACATGAAAGATTTGTATGATAAAAAGTTCAAGTCTTTGGAAAAAGAAATTGGTTGTGCATGGTGGCCCATGCCTTTAATTCCAGTACTCCAGAAGACAGAGACAGGTGAATCTCTGAAATTGAGGCTAGCCTGTTTCTTCATAGTGAGTTCTAGGATAGCTAGGGCTACACCGAGAAACTCTACCAAAAAGAAAAGAAAAGAAAAAAAACCTGAAAGAAAGCAGACAGAAGAAAGAAAAAGAAATTAAAGAAAATATCAGAAGATGGAAATATGTCCCATGCCCATGAATTGGTAGGATTAACATAGTAAAAATGGCCATCATACCAAAAGCAATCTACAGATTCAATGCAATTCCCATCAAAATACCAACACAATTCTTCACAGATCCTAAAAGGACAATTGTCAATTTCATATGGACACACACACACACACACACACACACACACACACACACACACACAATGGAATGAAATTGAAGACCCAGACATAAATTCACTCACCTATGCACACCTGATTTTGATAAAGAAGCCAGTAATATACTCTGGGGTGGGGGGAAGCATCTTCAGTAAATGGTGCTGATCAAACTGCACTTAGAAGAATGCAAATAGATCCATACTTATCACATTGCACAAAACTCAAGTCCAAATGGACCAAAGACCTCAACATAAAACCAGATATACTGAACCTAATAGAAAATGAGCACAGCCTGGAACTCTTTGGCACAATAGAAGACTTTCTGAGCAGAATACCGATAGCACAAGCACTACGATCAACAATTAATAACAGGGACCTCGTGAAACTGAAAACTTTCTGTAAGGCAAAGGACACCATCATTTGGAGAAGGTAGAAGCCTAAGGTATAGGAAAGGACTTTTACTAACTCTACATCCAATAGAGAACTAATATCCAAAATATATAAAGAACTCAAGAAACTAGATATCAACAAAACAGATAATCCAATTTTAAAATAGAGTACAGATCTAAACAGAGAATTGTCAATAGAGGAAACTCAAATGGCTGGGAAACACTTAAAGAAATGTTCAACATCCTTAGCCATCAGGGAAATGCAAATGAAAATGACTTTGAGATTCTGTCTCACACCTCTAAGATCAATAATGCAAGTAACAGCTCATCCTGGCAAGGATGTGGAATAAGGGGAACACTCATTCATTGCTCTTCAGAGTGCAAACTTGTACAGCCACTTGTACAGAAATTAGCATGGCAGTTCCCCAGAAAGATAGGGATCAATCTGCTTCAAGATCCAGCTTTACCGCTCTGGGGCATATACCCAAAGGACACTTCATCCTACCATGAAGACACTTGCTCAGACATGTTCATTGCTGCTCTATTCATAAAAGCCAGAAATTGGAAACAACGTAGATGTCCCTAAAGAGAAGAATTGATAAAGAGAATGTGGTACATTTACACAACAGAGTATTACTCACCTGTTTAAAAAAATATATCATGAAATTTTAGGCAAATAGATGGAACTAGAAAAAAATCATCCTGAGTGAGTTAACCCAGACCCAGAAAAATAAATATGGTTTGTATTCACTTACATGTGGATATTTGCTGTTAAGTAAATGATAATAAAGCTACAATCCATAGTCCCAGACAGGGGAGGTATAGAGGAAAGGACTTGAGAGGACACATGGGTATCCCTGGGAGGGGAAAATAGAACAGATTTTCTGGATGAGACTGGGAGCCAGGGAGGACAGGTGTAAGAGCACCTGGAG